TTGATTTTACAATGATTTGGTTTTTCTACAAACATATTAAAAAATTATAGACATTAAAAATAGATATCACTCCATTATCCTAGTTTCTTCTTACATGGACTAAAATTAATACAAATAACAGGAATGTGTAGTTTTTGCTTCATTGTTAAACTTATTAACAATACAAAGTTCCAATTTCAAATAAAAATAATTTTCTGTGTAAGGCAAACAACAGACAAAAACACACCTTTACACATCTCCTACAGAATATATACATAACAATTCATATCACAGCTGCAATTCCTGAAAACTAAAAAATGGAAACATGAAAGAAATTCATCATCCTAAAAAACAATAAAACAAAAAAGTATTAAAAAGTGCAATACATATATTAATGAAAATTATACCATCATAAAATATACATTAAATGTTAAATCTTTAAACTGCAATGGATCTCCATTTATATAAACAAAACATTTTTTTTTACTAATTATTATATACTTGTGCTGGAGTACTTTACCACAAGTGGCCAGATCCATTTGTATTTTAGCCATCTCACAACTAAGAACATTGCCCAAGATGTATTGCATAGGGCAAAATGATAATACACTTGCAAAAAGAGGGGAAACACGCACATATAAATATCCAAATCTTATCTAGAATTCAAACCTACACCAAAAAAAAGTTACCCTATAACTAAGGGGTTCTCAACCTTTTTTACTCCATGCACCCCTTTCTTCACAGCTATAAGATCATCCCCTCCCCTCCTTTCCAAAACTCAAAAAATAAATACATATATTTACCTAGATTTAGATGATTTTTCAATGTGTTTTACAAAATTTAACAATGAAAAGTGTAGAAAATGTTGATAAACATCAAGACTTGAACAAAAGTAGTTTTTTATATTCATACTATAAGTACTTAACAGTAAAAGACAGAGTGCATCCCCCTGAAACAATGAAATTTCCCAAGTGGGGAAAATTTTCATCCTGGTTGAGAATCCCTGTTCTAACCCTACATCATCTATACCAGGGGTTCTCAACTGGTGGTACGCGTACCACCAGTGATAAATAGTGAGCAAATCTATAGTTTAGAGCAGGGGTTCTCAATCGGTGATACGCAAGAGAAAAATAGGTGGTATGCAAAGAAGCGAAGTATTTTTAACTATTAAATTCAAAAATTAAAACCCCCAACATCCTGATTCTTTTTTGAAAATACTATATTTTTAGTTTTAATTTAGAAATGAGATTGTATGTTCTGTTTTTACATAAATAAATAAATAATATAAAAAATAGATTTTTTTATTTAATTGCAATATTGTAAAAATAAAGAGGTCAAAATGGCAAAGTAATTCCAATGTTTTATTTTAGTTGGGACAAAATTGATTGTATGCTTTAACTCTAATGTTCAATTTTGTTATAAAAAATTGCTTGTCTTAATGTTTTTTTTTAATATTATAATAACATAGTCTTTGTGTGGACAATACACATTAGACACATTCATCTAATGTGTGAACAACACACATTAGATGAATTTTTCTTTTAACTTCTGAGTATGAAAATAATTTATAATTTTATGCTGGCATGATGCAGACCGTAGGAAAGTTTTATTTATAATTCTATCAAAAAATGAAGATTCCATCACTTTTTGTTTAGCAGCTTTGTCTGAATAACATTTTATTAAAGACAGTAACTGGTCAGGAGATCAATTTCTGTGTGCTGCATTTCTTTAACATTTTCATCAATTTCAAAAGATCTTCATCAGCATTTTTCATTTTAATTTCTCTCATAATATCCTTCATCATTCGGATCTTTCAGTGCAACAACATTATTGCATGTTTGTTAAATCTCCATATCACATTATGATAATAGTGAAAAGTAAAATTTTTTTAGGTATTTAGTAAAATGCAAAAGCCTTGTTTCTTCCTTTTCAAACGCTCTTTGCTTGACCAATATATTGTTACGTTATTTTTTTCCTTCACGTTCGTAGATTTAGAGTGAATATCGACAACACTTGATGAAGTATCGAAACACACTTTATTGGCTAGTATTATTCAAGACAACTCCAATAACATGTTTACACAGTCATCGAAGAACTACAATAAACACAATCAGTGACACAGCCTTCACACTAACAGGCTATAATAGTGGAGACATCTTTACGGCAAAGCACCACAGTACAGCTCCTGACTTTGCTCAGTCGTTCTCAGAACTCCACATACTCTCGAAACTTTCTATGCTACAACTCTCACAATGCACTCGACGATACACAAAAGAATCGCTCCCGACTCCTCGATTCAGTCGTTCTTGGAGCTCAACCCACTCTCTCGGCGATGAATTAACCGCGATAGACTGAGAGACTCTTTTGGTGCACTCGACAACCCACTCGGCACTCGCTGACCGACTGTCAACTTGATCGACTCCGCACGGACCAACTCTTAGCCAACTTGACACTAACTGACTAACTCTCCGCACCAACTTAAACCAAAAGGGTTTATACATATATATATAGCTTTTGGCTTGTGTTTGAGAACATTCTGAGCTAAACCAGTAAGAATTTGCTCCAGAAGGTTCTCCATCCGCCTATGGCATATTGCCAAATGGGCGATTTTTTGACAAATGCGGCAACCCTGCCTTCCTGTGCCATTTTATTGCAATCCTGAAACTTGCTTTGCGGGAAAGATATCTTACCGCGCATGGACATTTCGTAAAAACATTGAACAATATTTCAGATGGGTACACAAAAAAAATGTGAATGGTGCTTTTTATAATGTTCAACTACTTGTGATAAGAAAGTGACAGTTCACCAACAGCAGGTGAAGCATGCCCGCAGGGTGAATGGCGTAGCTAATACGAGTAAGGACAGAGACTTGATTTCAAAATCTGATAAGAGGTTATCTTTTATATATTTTTCAATGGTAATCTTTCTTAAATTTATGATTTTTAGCCTTTGTATATTTTTTCATGTATGTTTACTCCATTATACATTTGTACAATTTTCATGCCACTTTTTGACATTTATTACTGATTCGCATAAACTTTACTAGATTTTAGACCCAAATTTTTAATATCTGTTGTATACTTTAAGCTTTATAATTTTTTATGTGCTCTTAATTTTAACTTATTTCTTATTTTTCCAGTTCATAAGGACATATCTATTTTCCATTACTAAATTTTTTATTGTTTACTTCATTTTATGAAAATTTTTTTCATACCTTTTAATATAAATACACTTAATTTGAACTTATTTATTAAATTTTATGAGTGCAATTATTCAAATATGCATTGTTACTTATTATATTATTTAACTTTAGCTATAGTTTTTAATTTCTTTGTATCTTTTTAACCTTTCTGATCTTCAGCATAAAATATATCTCATTTGTTATATTTTGTGAAAATAATTTAATTAGCAGTTTAATTTATTATATTTGATTCTGGAAGTTATTTTTAAGTTGTTTCATACATTTTAATGTTCTCTGATTTTTAACTAATTCATTATATTTTCTGACCTCATTTATGACATCTGTTTATTTACATTATTTAATTATAATTAAATATTTATTATTTATCTAATTTAAGCATTATTTTTATCTTTTTTATAGTTTTACTCTTTTTAGTATTTTTTACCTTACTTTAATTTTAACATTTCTATAAATTTTGATTTTTAATTGAAATTTGATTAACCTTATAAATTTTGATCATAATAATGCTTTTGGTTTTATTTATTTTACATGATTTTTCATGTTTCAACTTAAAAACCGTTAATAATTATTCATTTAAATCCCTACTGAGTCTGTATTTTATATACAGATATATATGTTATGTTATAGATTTAGAGATTTATTTATATGTTATAGATTTCTCATTCCATAATAGTCTACTATTACTAACTCTACTATTTTACTTCATTTAGTATTAACTCAAATCATATTTTCAAACTTCACAATTTCCTTGCAATTTTTTACTTATATATTCGAAATGTAATGGACTAGCTATATAATTTTATATGATTTTATGCATAAGTTTCTTTTCTGTTATTTTAATGATATACTTTAATGCAATTCAGTTTTTAAGGTCTTCAATGTTACCAGTTTTCCGTTTCGAGGCCCAGTTTCCATTAATAACAGGCTTCATACATTCTGAATTATCAGAATGAAGTCTCAACTTTCATCCATAATTTTAGAACTATATTTGTTACTTCCGACATTTAATAACTTTTAATTCAGTACTTTTTGCTAATTTATTGCATTCACACTGTTATTTTTACATTTTAGATGGCCTGACTATGCTAATTTTCACTTATTGCCTTTTACTTGTGCTAATTATGGTTATATCTGCCTTCATGGAGAACTTTCTGAGAAGAAAACATTTTTAGAACATATATAATAAATAACTAAATATTAATACTTAAGAATTACAATTTAATATAGAAAAACTACTAGATACTATAATTTTTTAAATAAAGAAAATTAAATGTTTTATGAATAAATTTCATATTCTATGGGGCCTCAAAAAAAGTCAGCATCACTATTATAAACACCTCTCAGTTTTAGCTTAAATGAATAAATGTAATATCACCATTTAATAAATGTATATATTTTATTTAACCTCTTTTATTTTATTTTAAAATTATTATTCTTTACTTTTATTACACCTGAATAATTAAGAGTTATGAGAAAAAGCTTCATATCTGATAATAGTAATATTTAGATGACATTTAGTTACATTTTCCAGAACCCTTCCTGAGCCACTTCAATGAACTTACCACAGCTTTCCCCCCTGAAAGCCTAATTAATTTCTCTTTCTATTTTATACCCTTTAATTAACTGAAAACAGCTATGAAAACATAGGTAAATACATTAAATTTCTGCATTTTCACACTCATGACTCATTTTAAGGGATAACAACAGCATACCATTTCAAGTACTGAGATAAAGCTAAATTATCCCTCAATTTATTATTATTATTTTTTAATTGAGGTTTTATGTATTCAAGAAACACATCTAACTCTTGATTACTGTCTGACAGAAAATCGACTGAGCTGAGAACATATCCTTGACACTTGTGCTTTTAGCAGGCATTCATGCATCAACAGGGTCAGCATCTGTTCATTTTTCCAAATTTCACATCAGATTACTCAAATATCTGACTCTGATTATCTGATTGAATAAATATATGGTACTCTTTTTTATTTAGTATTCATTTGCCATAACTGATGTAGACTACTCACACAGAAATAATTTCCTCTTAAAGAAAAATTCAATAAATATTTACAAACAAGACATTTAAATTATAAATATTGACAAAATATGAAAAATAAAATACTACCTTATGTTTTATTCCCCTTTTTTCTATGAGAAAAGTTCACACACTTCTTTAATTTCTTGGATTCGTTCTAAAACTTTCTCATGCAACTGTTCAAGCTTTTCAATCTCTTCAACACACTGATAATTCTCAGGACCGTTCAGTTTGTTTACCATTTTTAGCCTGAAATTTATATATTAAAAATTAAATCTCTTACATAAGGTACAGTTAAAAGACAGTAGAATGAGTACAATATATAGCAATTGCAGCATGCAAAAAATATAATACTAATGTTAGAAGAATCAAGAAAGCTAAAAGTAGGAAACACTATTCAAGAAAATTTAAGTTTTATGCCATAAAGTGCAATGATTTATTTTTGGGACTTGATCTAGATTAGTTTTTTTAGCAGAAAATTTATATAACACATAAAATTTTAAATCATGCCACAACAGATAACTGAATCAGAATGTGGCAATTTTAATGTATTATCTGCCAAATGCAGATTGATCTTTTTATTTATTACTACATTACATTTATTTTCCTAAATATGTACTTTTTTATTTATTTATTACATATTATTTACAATATGTCTGCCATGGCACATGTATTTACTGCATTTTGTAAATACCCCCCCCCTGAACCGGTGAGTTAAAAAAGCAAAGGATATTTTAACACATGACATGTTTAAAATCATCTGGTTTAAACATGTCAAATGTTAAAAATGGCATCTGCAAAGAAAGGAACTCAAGAAGCTTCATAACTTGGCTTGAAGATTTTTTTGTCCCCCTCCAATTCTGAAAATGTCAAAGAAAGGCACAGAGAGAAAGAAGCAAGCAGGACATCAGAATTTTATCACTAATTGTACAGGTATAGTGCTGCCCCACTAACCGTACAGCTCTGTCCCAATTTTGAGGAAAAACAGAGACAGCTACCTTTATTTGAAAAATAAAGCACTTAAAAAAGAAAGCATCCATTAGCCTCTCGGTATATAACATCAAATATACACAGCTGGTAAAAGAACGCGACTAGTCTACGATTAGAACATGGCCCCGTACCTTTCTTCTGTGTATTAATTTGAACCTAATAAAGAATGACCTACATTAGAAGATATTATAAATCTCTTTGTTATACTGATGATGAGTAAGAAAAAATTAATAATTTAAGCTACAAAACAAAATTAGGCATTTAGAAATAGAGGGGGGCAGCGCATGAATGAGAGAATTATAGATAATAACAAAGCAAGTTTCACAAAGTATAAAATTTCAAATAAATTAAACCTTCTACAGCGAATGCCTTCTTTCATTGCAAGCAAATCAAAGAGGCAAAGCCTGCTGATCTTGTCATCATCAGTTTCTGGAACTTCTACTTCTTCATTCTCATTTGCTTCTGATTCTGAAAATTCCTGTATCATCATTATAAAAAAAGTTAGATAACTTGACTATATATCTTAAAACTCATTATTATATATAAACAAAACATAAAACTACAATACTCACTTGCCATATCGGATCAGATAAATTGAAGCTGGATATTTCATCCACAATTCTAACCCTTAATGTGGCAGATGGATGTCCAAACATGTTCAATATTTTAATGACACTGAAATAAGAATACAAATGAAAGTATATATTTAAAAAAAAAAAAACTTTATTACTTTAAAAGTAATAAAGGATGAGTCAGAAATATTGCTATATACAGTTTTAACAACAATATCATCCGTTACCAAATCCTACAGTAGTTATAATTTTTAAACTGCATTCTGCAGACCTTTAAAGGTTTCAAGCAATTCCACTGCAACCAAAAAAATTACAAATCTAAAATAATTAAATACTATACTTCACAACAAGCTAACCTGAGGACACATACAAGGATAGAACGAACTTTTTCAGCTTTTCACCCTCTTCAAGTTATCCATATGCAGCAAACTGACCACGCAGATTCAATTCTTCCAAAGCATTGCACATTTGGCGACTTCTTGCCAAATCCAGCGTATTTAAAGAACAATCTTTTTATGCAATAAAGCATAAAGCAATTTAAACTGATAGTTCATTATAGTATAAAATATAGGGCATGTTATTGTCTTAATTTATATGAAATTTTTCACTATTACCTAAATGTCATGTATACGGATTTGATGACATTTAAAACTCGAATTGTTACTTAAAACTTGAAACGGGAGAGCTAACAATGTATTCCTTATAGGTTTGGGTCAAATTTTTGTTTCCCAAGACCATTCGCTTAGAAGTAAAATATATAAATTTTGAAAATCTGGTAGTAAGTCGATTTTCTATTCATTTTTAAGAATTTACGCAGCTTATTGCTTCTAAAACAATGGACGAGGGAAAAATTTTCTATTTTTATTTTTTTTTTGGATGGATTTTTAAAAAAAAACTCTGACTATATATATAGCAGCATTATAAAAATGTAATCCTGTATTAATTGTCCCCTAAGACACACACACACTTCCAGTCAGGCCAAGATAATCATCCTCCTACGTAAGTTTTCCTATCCTGATTTTCAAAAAAAAAAGACTGGAAACGAGATCTTCTGATTGCAGTCTTACAACTAAAGAGTTTATCATTAAAACATTAGAATATAAACAGACATTGTGAAACAAACTTACTACCTTACAAAGTTTTATACCAATCAAATAAATATTTCATTAAAATGTTTACAACATGTAAAAAAAACAAAAAAAAAAAAAAAAAAAAAATTAATTTTTAAGAAGTGTGTTTATTGCTTTCAAGACATTTACCATATTAATTAATGACTCTTTGCTTGTATTTAAAAGATAAAGTTTTTATGCTTTGAAGAATAAAACATCTAAGTGCGACGGGGCACGAAAGCGAGTCTTTTGTTTTGCAGCAGGGGAATACATTGCTTTTACATCTCTCAATTTATAAAAAGCTGGCTGATTCAGCTCTTTGAGAATCTGAGAATTATATTTTGTTGTGTAGGACTATATAAGTTAAGAAGAACCCATACATTTCCTTCGAGGTATAAAAGTAACAAGCATATCATATGGAAAGTTCTAGCTATTCCTTCGCTTAAGGCATGAAACACTGGTAGTATGCAATGAGTTCGTTTGTAATGACTGTAAGCTTTGAACTGCATGGGAGTCTCTCAGTGTATTATATAAAAGAAGTTCTTTACCCTTATAAAGTCCCCACGAAGCCATCGTTTTTTTTAGACAGCAACCCTTGTTCCTTCTACCATAATTAACTTAATTGATCAGTACTTTCATATTGGTTAGGTTAGGTGATTTGAATAGCAAGCCAGAGACTATCTGACTAAGCATGAGATGCATTTGTGGGGGACTTTCTAAAAGAAATAAGACTGCATTCACGTCATAGATGGGAAAACTACCAAAACTGGCCATGAATACAGCCCGTTTGCTTGGGTTCACACAATCTCAAACTACCTTTATTCAACAATTTAACCACTTGGCTACTGGAGGGACACTTTCATATTATATTTTCTAAGAGTTGTTGGCTTATATTTTTATAATACTTTTTATATGACTGTTTATAGATTTGCCTTTTTAAAAAATTTTTTGCTCTTGAAAACGGCTTTAGTATTTTTAATTCGTGGCTCTTAAAAGGGCCTATTTTTTAACTGAGGTATTCAATCTCACTAAGATTATCATAATAAGTAACATCAGAATTATTAGGAAAATGCTTCCGTAATTTGACAAAAACTATTCATTACGATAATCTTAGTGGAACTGTGCAGTGGTTTTCCAGCTTTATGAGGTTAAAAATTATACACATATGTCAAAGATGAAGCAGATACAATAACAATTGCTTTTTTCTCCTCCCGGTCAGTAAATGAATACTTTTATTGCTTTTCTCGTCAAAAGTAGTGTGAGGTTGGGGTTGCTGGAATTTGCAGTTTCGCCAATAATGCCAAAAAAAGGGGATGTCTTCCTGCTGGTCATCGAATGATTGACACGCTTTAGCAAATTTTTAAACAAAATGCTGGATGCAACTTAATCTAGTGTTTCACACATTTTTTTCTCCTTCTTCTCTTTCACCAGTATTCATACACACATATTTTATACAATATTACTTCTCGAAATGGTAGAACTACTAGATCCAGTATTCTCAAGTTAGGTTGACCTGGATTTCCCTTCCCCTTTTTTAAGTGCACCCAATACTGGCACACATTTTTTTTTTTAAAACCTTTCCTGAGACAAACAGGTGTTATAATTTATATATATATACAGAAAAAAAAGAAGAATAAAAAAGATTAATTATCAACGTAAATTTCCCTTCTCAATTCTAGAAAAAGTAACCCCTCTCTGCACTGCGTCATTTCGAGATTATTCTATGTCATATGATTCTTACGTAATTATAATGATGCAAATGGAACTAAAACTCAACCAGCCAATAGTAATTTTAGAGCAATATTAACTTTCCAATCAGAATGTATTGAGAATCAGAACTAACTCAGTCTGAATAAGATTTCACCCTGAAAATAACACACTTGCTTTCCATGCTTTGGCCTAGCTAGAGTGCTGTCCGTCTGCTGCTGCTTTCTTGCTACAAAGTTATCAAAAATGTAAGCCTTTTGGAACAGTCACACTTAATGTGCCTACTTGTGTGTGATGCTGAAAATAAAATTGAAGATTTAATCTGCCTTCGCCTCCAATTTCCTAGTCATTATGGATCAACACTTCTACGTAATCAATAATTCCTGCTCCTGAAAATATTGCAACTGAGTCATTGCATAATTTAGGATCCACAGAGATTGCATCAGGAAGAAAAATCTCTAGCTCTGTGTATGATGCATTAAAACATATTAGATTAATCTTTTAAATTGTAAGTTTTCAATTTTTTTATTCCTTTTATTCCACCACCTGTCCATGTGATAATTTTAGAAGCATTTTCTGATATTTTCTATGCTTGTGTATAGTGAAAAGTAGAGAAAATAAAGGGAAGATAAACATGTTAAGATAAAGGTTCTAGTATTAGAAGTAAAACATTCACAAATATTATGTTTTCATTGTTCTTCCAGACGTTCACTAAAAAGCAAGAAATTCATCGCAAACTTTTTGTAAAATACATCCGTTACATGTTAATACCACGGAGACATTTTTTATTTTGTCTAAAAATCTTCTATAGAAACTGATCTTAAAATTGCTAAAATGTTGATTAGTCGCCAAATTTAGAACCGTTTAATAAAAGAATTCACATTCCAAAAAGCGAAAAGTTGTTTAATAGCCCTTCATTAGAAAAAATGAATTTCGAAATGCTTATGTTTCACTTCTTGCTTAGAAACTTGAGTATACCACCATTCATATTAGAAATAGGAATAAATTATAACCCATTTAAAAGGTAACCATATATATCAGTGAATCGTCAAAAATATTCCTTCAAAATGCTAACTCACGCTCAAAATGGCAGTTGTGAAAACAGACAGAAATTTCAAATAATTAAAATTAAGGTCCTTCTGCCGATTTTGGCCGAAATTAAGGACCAAAAATCGACTCCAGAAAACCTAAGAACTTTTAATGACCCTTCGAACCATGCTTTATCAAGGAGATAATCTAGTGCCGATAAGCCTTCCTTGATTTAATAAATAAAAAATTTTTAATCGAGCTATATTTTTAGTCATATATAAAGTAGTTCAGAATGTGAAAATTCAACAATCAATTTTTTAAATAACAAATAAAAGAATTGATACAAACCACTTTGAAATCCCCAATATAGCCCTTATTTTCAGTAAAATAATAATTATAAAATTTCTAATTTTAACTGTGTGCATATATCTATGTGCAAATACAAATTTCCAACATTTTTTTAATTAAATGAAGGAAGACTTATTTGGACTATGCTTTTTTAATAAAAAAACTACAGTCAAATCAGTTATTATTTAATATTTTTGTATTTCCAGTTTTCACTTTTCTAAATTTTAATTAATTGAAAAATTTTAATAATTTAAAAAAATTTCCAATCTTGAAATTTTTAAATTTACTGCATTGTTAAGTTTTAAGCTACATTTCTTCATTATAGGATGATAAAAGATTCTCCCTTTTATTTCTTTCTAGAAAGTACTAAATTACTGTTTTTTTTATTTATTTACATGCTTTGTTTATTGTTATTTTAACACAAAGTTGACTTAATATCATGGGAATTTCAAAAATTTTTTACCTTTAAATCTTAACTTGTTTGTTTTAGTTTACTTTCATTATGCACACACACAAGTGCATGTGCCATCACAAAACACGCATAATATACACACAAGGTACCAAAAAAGTTCTCGCCAATTGTTACATGACATTGGAAGAGTGAACCCCAACATGAAAATAGTCACAAAACCCGGCGATGAAGTGGTTAGGATGGGAGTCTGGACATTGACCAGGAGTATAAAAGTGCATTGCATTGCATCGGTACTTCAAACATAACTCGCACAGCGACTGATTGAAATGAACACATCAAAGACACTCATTTGGAGTTGTTTGCTTTATGATTTTAAACTGAGCCTGTCAAGCAATAGAACCAAGTCACCGAATTCGCCAGGGCTTGGGGGATGATGTAGTTAATGAATGAACCACTAGGCAATGCTTTCAGAAGTTCAGGTAAGGGGATATGTCTCTTAGTGATGAACCACGCAGCAGTCGACCACAAGCACTGGGCGATGAGGCTCTGAGAGCAGCCATAGACAGTGATAGTAGCCAAACATATGGTGAGCTTGCTGCACACTTCCAGGTATCGGATGAAACGATCAGACTCTATTTGCACTACATAGGAAAGGCATATAAGCTGAGCAAGTGGGTATCCCACTCACTGTTTGATGCAAACAAGCAACAGCGTGTTGCTGCTTGTTTGTCATTGGTTACTCGGCACCACAATGCATCCATATTTGATCGAGTACTCACCAGCAATGAAAAGTGGGTTCAGTGTGACACACCCAGGCATTCCAAACATTGGTTGTCACCACAGGACCCTGTGCCTCACACTGTGAGACCTTCTCTCCACCCACACAAGATCATGCTCTGTATCTGGTGGACTAGTAGCTACGTAGTGCACCATGAGCTCCTGCCAGTGAGCCAAACCATCATGGCAGGCCTATACTCGCAGCAGTTGGAACATGTGCATCAGGCACTGATGCATTAAGAGCCAGCATTGGTCAATTGTAAGGGTGTATTCCTCCTCCATGACAATGCGAGGCCGCATGTGGCTTGTGAGGTCAGAAACACCATTCAGCGACTGGGCTGGGAGATACTACCCCATCCACCATACTCCTCAGACCTCGTGCCAAAAGACTACCACTTTTTCCATTCCCTGGACAACCATCTTCGTGAGAAATCCTTCAGCAAAGGGCCACACCTTGAAAAGGCCCTCACAGACTTCTTTGCATCGAAGACTCCTGAGTTTTACTGCGATGGCATTGTACAGCTAGCCACTCGTTGGCAAAAGGCCCTGGATGCCGATGGTGATTACTTTGTTTTGTGACTTTTTCTTTCTGACTGTCTAAAACGGCAAAAATGTTTTAGATATATTGCACTTTCAGAGCTCCTTTAGTTGGCAAAATCTCTTCTGTAGCAGGCACACTCATATATTAATGACAAATTTTCTCTTTCCTTTTATGAGTGCTAAATTTTGTTTACATTCAAGGTTAATTTAAAAAATTACCTTGTAACCAAAATTTTTACATTCCACTAAATCATTTTCACCATGCAAAAATTTTGAGAATGAGGCATACTACAATTTACTTTTGCTTTCATATAAAACTATTTTAATATGGCACACTTCATAGTTAACTTACCAGGATAAAGGATAAAGATGAACGCAAGATTTTGAACTGGTAACTTTTTGGATACCTTTAACATTATACCTGTAAATAGACTAATAAAAGTTAAGAGTCAAGAATAATAACTTATTTCTATTTTTAGTTTTAAATGAAAAATATACTGATTTAGATAGTTAGTCCTTTAAAAATATTTAAAAAAAAATATTTTTGTAACTTTCTAAGAGTAATAAAAAATATACTGAAAATTGTCGTCTTTATACTATGACATAAAATATTTAATTACTTGTTTATTTGCTAATCAGTTCTTTCACACAATGAAAATAATAATAATAAAATAGAAGTTATGATATCACCTTTTAAGTTGATTAAATAATTCTTCGTTTCCTTCTTCAAATATATCAACTACTGGAAACGTAATTTCTTTAAGTTGTAACTGGAAAAATATAAAAACAATTTATAAGCAAATTACTTTAATACATACTTTATTATATAATCCATTAAAATTATTAAAAGCAATTAAAACCTTGAAGAATTAAACACTTGGTTAAAAAACAGATTAATTTCAAAATAAATATAACTTACTACTGGCAGAGCATTTAGTAATCGCAACAGACAATTTTTTTATTACACATGAAAATACTGCTCTTTTCTCAAATTCCTGAAACTTGTTTTATAGTTAGGCATTCTCAGATTTTAATTTTATGTAGGGAAAGTTCAAAAATTTTTTCCATTTATTAATTTCACATGATAAATGATTCATGTCAAAGTATGTCAAATTATGCAGATATATTTTTAGAGATTAAAGAAAATATCCGAAAATCCTTTAGATATACTGATTCTGTTTGAAGATGGTATGGTATATTTAAATATGGCAAAGCACTTGAGGGCTATCTGCCTAAGGGAAGGGATGCCTTTGTGAAGGACATTCTAAAGGAAACTGGCTCATATACACGTTACACATGGGGAAAGCAGCCAGCCTATTTGCCAGGATTCAAACCCCCAGACCGAACTACCAGTGTTCAGCGACTTTACCACTTGGCCGTTCTGTTTGAAGAATAATTCTGATCTGATACCCTTTTTTATGAACTATAAGTCTGCATTGTGATTTCCACAAGGGTCTTTGTAAAATTTTCAAGGGTATTAATTTCCATTCACCTTCTACAAATTTTCACAATCTATCAATCATAATGGTTTTGTGCTTAGCAAGAGCTACTTTCAGGAGATCCAAGGGCACACTGGTCCAGAGGTGTCCATCAGGGTACATCACAGGAATATATCGAAAAGATATATATGCAGACCTGTATCAATTTTTATGTTCTCATTCATGTTTTCAACAGAGAGGTATTTTCGAAATGAGTTGTTGCATTGATTTGATGAAGTTTTATTCTTTGAAAGTCACTGAGATAAAGAAACAGAGTCTCTTCCATAAATATCAGACATAAAACTTTCTCTTGATAGTAAGCTAAGTTGATTTTAATATTTTTTCCCATGCTTATTTTTAATTTCACATAGTAAGAGAATTCTGGGACAATCATAAATCCTGTATTTGGAGCCAAGTTTATACATTTCTGTCTCTTCATTTCATTAATGAATAAGTCTTACCCCCTTTTGCCAGTCATTTAGGTAATCCCATCCTTCATCAAGGGTCACATTGTATTTTAATTTAACTCCTGCTACATAGTTTTCATACAAGGTTCCATAAATTTATTTGAACGAAGCATAAACTTAAAAGTAGCAGACGATATTTCTAATTTCAAATAAAACCTTTGCTCCCCCCTTTTTTTTGTTTTAAATTCTTTATCAAAATTCTTTTAAAAATGTGCAAATACCCATTGCATTAAATTTTTATTACTATAATTTTTAAAGGCATTTTAGCGTTAACATGATGGCAGTAACCAAATGTGTTAGTCTGTTCATATTACATCATGATTAGTTGTGTACAACTTAATATTTAGAATGCCAATACTGCATGATGCTGACTTTGTACAATCCTCTGAATTCTTAAAGTGAAAAATAATATCATTCATTGTTTTAAAACTGTAGAGAGAATACTGCACCCATAATTCTGTATGAAGGAAATACTCTGCCTCCAAAAATGCTTTATCCAATATTAAATTATGTTGAATTCGACCAGGTCTGTCTGCAAGTCTATTTTTCCCAAATACGTAGCTCTGTTTGGAAATGAAATAGTCACCTACCATCGAATCATTATGATTATAATTTTGTTTGACAGGCTGAATTTATTTGTCGTGGGATCTCAAACAGAAAGCTCATGGAAAAATCATCCGAAATTTATTTTTTAACACATTGCCTGAATATTTCAGACAGCTCTTCAAATCATCCCCTGTGTGACAACACAATTATGTAAAAATCAAATTACAAAGTTCAAAATAATGTATGGAAATAAATAAGTGTGCTTGAGTCATCAAACATGATTTAATGATTAGGAGTCATCATAGCGTTTACAGTTAAGTGATCCAATCACTGGTTCAAAAGATACCTGCTTTGGAAGTCACTAATCTGTATATTAACCTACACTACTTCGGATCTGAAGAAATAAATTAAGACTTTTCACTGGTGCAAGATTGAAAATACAGTCATGAGATTATTTCTATATATGAAGGAGCATACGTACATTATCAAAAGAATAACTTTGTCCCAATTTGCTCACAGTATATGGTCCTTTTTAATAGCTGCATCTGAAAGCTCTAGCACGCAGCCTTATATACAAGATGCAAGAAATTAAAGTTCACATTTCAAAAGAACTCTACAAGAGAAAATGGTGGTCAGAACGTTTTCTTCTTATGTATGAATACTCTTGATGCAACAGAAATTCCTTTGAAGAGGGAAAATCAAAACTAATTTTAAAACCTGCTATTAAGATGGCAGATGACACTTTATAACAGCAAAACAAAAAATAATAAAATCTAAAAGCTTTCAGATTTTACATTACGCCCATAGGAACATTTTTTAACACTATGCATATTACCTTTATTTATTAAATATCATGTTCTTCGCACTTAAACCATAAAATTCAGTTAAACAGCAATATAGTGAAATAATTTTAAAATGAGCATATCTTTAGAATTTTCCGATACAGTCTTGTGCATTAAAGATAAAAATGTCCCCCACGGTACAATGTTGTCATTGCTTGCTTTGAAATCGTTGAGTTTGTTAATTAAAAATTCGTTGAAGTTTTACAAAATATGAAATAGATAATAAAACAAATTACAAATTTGAGCTTCCAGATGTCCATATTTGGGTGGAAACGTATGTTATTCAAAATTGGATGGCACTAGGTATCATTGTTTTATCACAACGCGAGAAAAATATATACATTTGCGCAGATTCTTCATTATTTAATTTCCTTTAAATATAATGCAGGGCTCTAATATTTGGTGGGAACAATTTGAAAAGTGAACCAACATTTATCGTGAGTGAACACAAAATGTCAAAACGAGCTTAACAGTCCTGCAAAAACTGCGCTTTTGGACTAAAAACATTTACTATTTAAATGTTTGATATATTATTCTGTATTTTGTACAAGCTGCTATCACAAAATTACAGGTTTAACTACACATCTACATATTTCTTTCCAGATGTTACAGATAAGATCCAATAAGCTTGCTTTCTGATAAAGGTCTGCAATATGTCCATTAAGAATAATTATTCTAAAAGTGTCCACTTGCCAAAAGTTCCAAGAACTCATTTCCGACAACTCCCCAACATATTAGAATATATTGACCAATGTTCTGTTTTCGAAAACATGAGCCCAAAGCTTTAAATTTCATTCTGACCAACAACTTGTTTTAAATAGCCTTTAAAAAATGAACTTAAATTGCATACAGTCTACAGTTCATGATAGTTAAGTAAATATCACAGTTGAGCACAGAAGAAATAATTTATTCAACACTATCTTTTGCTAAATTTAATGCCTGTTAAGACACAAGGGGGGAATACATTTTTCAATATAATGAAATATGTAAAAAAATAGAATTTAACACAAAAATATAAAAAAGTACATAGTTTTCTGTTCAAAAAATTTAATATATATAAAATATACATTCAACATCCAGGGAAGTTTTGATCTAAAGGCTTACCCTACGAAATAAATAATCAGCTTCTTTATTGTACCAAATAAGAGCTGAAATATCTCCACTTGATACATATGGTAATGAATTCCAAACAATGATATGCATTACATAGCCATTCCCAAAATTAATCCTAGAAAAATGGTCAAAAAAGCTTCAGTTATAAAGTGCAAATTATTATTAATAATAATAATAAAGATTTGTTGTTTTAGCAATATAAAATCAGTTTTACTCATAATCAGTATCTAGAATTGTAAAACCTCATAAATGCTTTGTAATTATATAAAATCAAAAGAAATATAAAAACCCTTATTAAACAATTATTTAATGGGACACTACACTTTACTGTTATACATAAGCATATACAGCTTGTAGCCTATCCTACTTTTAATGCTCTGCACTGACCAAATACTTTGGCTCAAGTTAAACTTTTTAAATTTTTCTACAAATTTTTACTAGCACAAAAGAGGAAGTAGAAATAACTGACAGACAGTAGAATTTTTGTTAGCATAAATTTAGGTATTTTGCATATGAAACTCGAAAGGCATACGAAACGAACGTGCGCCAAGATATATATTGGCCAGAGAAAGTAAAGTTTGCGCGCAATGCAGTATATTTGACTTTCACCTTAGCTATGTGCAGTGTATTCGATTTTCACCCTAGCTACTTATATCACGGCCAAAGGTCTAATTCAGTTAGTACTTTCTCTTTTCAGGTACAGTGTCAAAGTATGTTCCTGTTTTTTTCTTATAGCCTAAATAGGTATGCTTGAAGATGTATGACTTATATTTGTATGTAAGTTATCTCCTTTTCGATAATTCAGTGCTTTAATGTCTGTGAAGATTATTACTTTTTGTTATGCTTAAGTTAAGCAAAATTCTCCTATTTTATTCAGGGTTCATAGCCACATTTTAGTTAAAAAAATAAGCACCTGTCTAATTACATTATACACAACTACATAACATTAAAAATTCGACTTGTAATTTAAAATATGAGAAATGCAGTATTTATTAAGAGAGAATAATCATTACCTCAACCATAACTTTAAAAAAACTATGCAGAACTAAACTATATTACAAGATTTTAATGATGAAATTTCAGTTCAAAATATAGAAAATAAACAATAATAAGGCATATTTATTGTATTCGCTTGGAACCTAATAATAAATACAATTTATTTTTCCACTCATATTGATATTTAAATCTAAATTCTGAACATTTTCTAAATTTTCATTGTATATCAGTTTTCCCTTAACAGGTATTGCAAGCAAAGTAATTTAAGTAAAAAAGAGGAACATTTCTGAAATTAGGAGACAGAAATTTGCTTCATTCAGTCATCCTTTAACAGTAAAAACTTAACTAACCTGCATACTTGGAAATTGACGAATATTCGGACAGTCGAGCAAAACTTGAAAAAGAGGAGCAGAGCCGGGGAAGGGGGGGGGTAGACTGTAGCCATTCTTTAGATTTTTCTCCTAAATAAATGCTTTTGACATTTTGATATGTGCATCATATAAAAATAAACCAAAGGAACTGAAAAAATATTCTGCTTAGCAAGCACAGTAAAACTCTTTTAGGTGTTTGTAAACAAATCTCGGACTGAACATCAAAATTAATTATCTCTGCAAAATATCGCAAACGTTATTGCGCAATGCGTGCCCCGTAATTCTTCCCTACGTGATATTACGCAATCGGAATCAACAGCTGCCGGTGTTGGGAGAATAAAGAACTAACAAAGGAAAAGAAAGAGACTTACAAATCTAGGGTGTTTTTCATTAGACTGCGTTAAATTTCCGGAAATGAATCATTCATTACTTGGGTTGGTACACCCCAGAACTTTTAGTCCTATTCAACCCAGACTAGAAAGTGACAAAAAAAAAAAAAAGTCTGTAGCTTGTTTTGCAGTGAACTGTAACAGTTTCAATATTCAAGATTTTGCAGAGAAAGGGGAGAACCTCCCAACCGTCGTACTGTATAATGTATTGGCCAAAAAAATGAAATTATTTTGACTATTCCATTACTTTCCCTTTATTTAAGCCATTCCAAATATTGTTCCTTAGAAAGCTAATCTGTGTTAAAACACAACCATTTTGGAAGTTTACTATACTTCAGCAGTTACTGCAACTATGTTATTATAAACATTCATACATATGCTCATAATATAAGCATAACGATCATAATAAACACGAATATGAACTGACCAAGTGGAACGAGAATGCAAATTATTAAGATCTTGATAGAAATTCAAACGTGTGTAGTATTTGGGTGGGAGGAAAAGAATGCCGAATTTTCTACCGCATTCGCAATTCTTTGCCCAATAGAACTACGGGCACCTGTCTGTACTCTCCGCGCACACCAAAGCTTATGTTAATGCAGAGAAAGGGGGGAAAGCTATTTCCGGGAGTATGATTCACCATCTGACATTCCATATTAGGAAGAAAAGTTGTTTATTTAGTTTCGGCTTTGGTACGGGGGAAAATTGCGTGTTCATTAAAAAAAAAAAAAAAAAGCATTAAAAGCAAAAAATAAGCACTAAAAACAAAAACATAAGGGCTTTAGAAGAAAAAATAAGCACCTACAAGGGCCTTTATATTTTATTTTCAAATACAAAGACTTATAAGCACTTATAAGGACCGCTACGAACCCTGTTTATTACATAAAGATTTCGTAATTAATTTTTTGACTTGTGATTCTTTAATGAAAACTGCGCCTGAGGAAACTTACTCATTACGCCTTCAGTGCTAAGGCACAAACCAACAAAAGATTATGAGACTGAGTAGGGCAATTGCCTTGAGGAAATGCTTCAAAAAAAAAAAAAAAAAATAAAAAAAAAAAAAATAAAATAAAATTAAATAAAAAATAAAATTGAAATTGTAATGTTGTAAGATTCCAGGGGCATAAAGTGTTAAAACTCTTTGTTGAAAATACTAGTTACAAAGTTTATAAGAATAATTGTAACAACAATAATGTCTATTCTAAAAGAATCAATTTGTATAGAAAAATTAACAGATGAAAATTATTCAGTCTGGAAATTTAAAATAGAATACAATTTTGATAAAATAAAGTTTACATGCTGTGGTATTCGGAAGAAAAATCGGGAAACTGTTTCCGATACTTGGTTGATAGAACGTCCGTAAAGCTAAAGCTTTAATATGTCCTAAAACATTTCAGATTCTCAAAACATCCACATTTTGCATAGTAAATCTGCAAAAGAAGTATGACAGAAGTTAAAATGTGTCCATGAACGTGTTAATTTAACAGGCAAGTTATTTATTCTTAGAAAAACTATATTCCATATATATAATGAAAGTTCTAAAATGCAGGAACATATCAAAGGAGTACTAGAATTGGCTGAAAAGCTGCGTAGTATAGGTGAAGAAATTAAAGAAAATAACTTAATAGAAATATTACTATGTTCTTTACCAAATTCATACAACTCCTTAATAACTGCAATAGAAATAAATCGGAAGCTGAATTGTCGCTATAATATGTTAAAAACAAACTAATAGATGAGTATTGTAGACGTGTGGAAACTAAGAAAGTTCAAAAATACGATTCAGTTGCTTTAAAAAGTAAAAGCGAAAATAAATCAAAGTATGTTACACGATATTGTACTTATTGTAAGAGAAATAACCATACGATAAATGACTGTTTTCATTAAAATGCAACGCTAGAACTTCCCCGAAAACAGAGTAATAACAGTAAAGTAAGAAATTATTCTCAAAATTATAAAAGTAATGCATGCCAAATAGCAAATATGCAAAGTGTAGAAAACATAACAAACTTAAAGAAAATAAGTATCTTAAAGTATTGAACTGAAATTCGCAGATTTCCGTTTAATCAGTTCTAAAAGTGGAAATAAACATGAAAACACGCAACGCAAGAAGGGGTTATCACTCAGGAGCCTCAACTCATATGACGTGTGATAAGAATTTTTCTCTCAGTTAAATGACTCTAATAAACAATAGCAACTGTAGCCAATGGTGCAAAATTAAATTCTTATGGTATTGGTGAAGGCTATTTTAAAGTTCAAAACTTAAAGGGTCAGGTTACACACACACACACACACACACAACACACACACACACAAAAAAAAAAAAAAAAAAAAAATTTTAGAAAATGTATTGTATGTACCATGTTTAGATAGTAATTTACTTTCTGTTCAATCTGTTACAAATAAAGGTTGCATTGTTACATTTGATAGTAATAAGTGTTACATAAAGCGTAACAATATACTCGTAGCCGACGGCAACGCTCAGCAAGGTTTATATAAATTGACCGTAAACTCAATTGACGAGAAAGCATACTTAGCTAATGATTTTTCATGTTCTAATACGAACTGTATACTAAAATGGCATCAAGATTAGGCCACAGAAATATAGATGCCATTAAAAACACTTGAGAAAAAAATGATTTGGCAGACGGCATTAAACTTGGCAAATGCACTCATAGTGTGGAATGTTGTGTAAAAGCGAAACTAACTGAAAAACCTTATCCCAAAACTGGTTTTAGATCTAAAAATCCACTGGATTTAGTGCACACAGATGTGTGTGGGCCAATTGAAGTCAACAGCTTAGGAGGGAAAAGATATTTCGTAACTTTCATTGATGACTATTTGCGTTATACTCAAATTTATTTTATTACTTCAAAAGATGAAGTATTCAACAAACTTAAACAGTATGTTGCATCGACAACAAATAAATTTAGAAAGAAAATAAAGGTTCTCAGATCCGACAACAGTACGGAATACTGTAACAAAACTACTGAAAATTATTTAAAGAAACTTGATTTTTTTAATCAAACTTTGGTTCCTTATTGTCCGGCACAGAACAACGTCGCAGAAAGGAAAAATTGCTCTTTAATAGAAATGACAAAAGGTATGCTAATAAATTCTAAATTACCGAAAGGATTCTGGGCTGAAGCAGCAGCTATTGCCGCTTATCTTCAAAATAGGTTAAGCCACAGATAGAACACCATATGAATTGTGGAATGGTAGAAAACCAAACTTAAGTCACTTACGAGTATTTGGCTGTAAAGCATTTTATTATGTGAACAAACAAAAACGGCATAAATTCGACAACAAAGCTGAAGAAGGAATATTCGTAGGATACGATTTACGAAGTAAGGGATACAGGATTTATGTAGGTGGAAGGAAAATAATAGTAAGTAAAACTGTTAAATTTTCAGAAATCGCGTCTTTATCTGACAAACATGCAGAAAATAATGCTGAAGATTTAGAATTCATTCACTTCAATAACTCGCAAGAAGATGAAGAAACATCTCTTGGCGATGATTTTACAGAAGATTCAGAAAGTTCTGAAGAGTTAATTAAATGTGAAAAAAAATGTAGAAAGAAGGGTTTCTAGCAGATCAACCAAAGGGGTCCCACCGAAAAGATTCTCTTATAAAGCAGAAGACGAAGAATCAATCTTACCTAAAAATAAAGATTCAGAAAGCTTTGAAGAAATTCTAAACTTACCAAAATGTGAACAAGAAGTTTGGATCAAGGCTATGCAAGAAGAAATACATTCTCTAAAAGAAAATGAAAACTATACACTTACAGAATTACCACCAGGAAAACATGTAGTAGGCAGCAAATGGGTGATTAAGACAAAATATGATGAAACTGGTAAAAATATAAAATACGAAGCACGCTTAGTAGCCAAAGGATTTACTCAAAAATACGGCAGTGATTATGATAAAACGTTTTCACCAGTAGTGAAACACAGTACGATAAGTTTTCTTAGCATGGCCAGCGTATAATAATGCCAAGGTACACCAACTAGATATTAAAACAGCTTTTTTGTATGGCAACTTAAATGAAGAAATATATATGGAACAACCAGAAGGATTCATGGTTCCGGAAGAAGAACATAAAGTTTGTAAATTACAAAAGTCGATTTATGGTCTCAAACAAGCAGCTAGGTGCTGGAATGCAGAAATTGAAAATACATTGAAGAATCTTGGGTTCAGTCAAAGCAAAGCAGATCCATGTCTTTTCACAAAAGTGGTTCGTGATAAAAGAATTAATTTAATAGTGTATGTTGATGATATCCTAAAAAGTTCTACAGAAGGACTAATTCTTCAAACAATTAATGATTTAAAGAAACGTTACCAAATAATGTATCTTGGTGAAGCTAAATATTTCTTAGGCATGGAAACAAATCGCAAGGAAGACGGAAGTTATCTCTTATCACAGAAAAATAAAATAAATCAACTTGTCAACCAATTTCAACTTGAAGAAGCGAAACCCGCTAGCACACCAATGGAAACAAACTATTATAACCTAACAAGGAAGAAAATCTCCTAACTTCAAATGAAATTTTGCCAAGCTATTGGAAGTCTTTTGTATATATCGTCTATCACAAGACCAGATATACAGCTTCAACTCACATACTCAGAGAAGGTGTAATAATCCATGTCAAAAGGACTGGAATGCGTTAAAAGAATCATTAGATACTTAAACACAACAAAGAATCTATCCTTACAAATTTCATCGAGTGAAGAACCTAATATTACAGTTTATTCAGATGCTGATGGGGGAGAAGATATTGAAGATAGAAAATCTACATCAGGAAGTGTTATTTTATTAGGAAAAAACTATTTCGTGGGTTTTCAAGAAAACAAACTTGTGTTTCTTTATCCTCAGCACAAGTTGAATATGTTGCACTATCGCAAGCTACGCAAGAAATATTATGGCTATTAAAATTAACAGAAGATTTCAATCTACCCCAAGCTCTACCGATAAAGGTATTTGAAGTCTACTATAAGACTTGTAGAATCTGAAAAATTCAGTTCGCGCACAAAACATATTGATACAAAAGTTCATCATATACGCGACTTGAATAACAAAGGAATAGTAAAACTTGCTTATCTTTCAACAGAGCAAATGGTTGCTGATATTATGACTAAACCAATTAATAAAGCTAAATTTCAGTTTTGCAGGAATGAATTGCAATTGGTATGAGTTTCATTAGCAAAACAGGGGCAATGTTAGCATAAATTTAGGTATTTTGCATATGAAACTCAAAAGGCATATGAAACGAACATGCGGCAAGATATATACTGGCGAGAGAAAGTAAAATTCGTGTGCAATGCAGAATATTTGGCTTTCACCTCAGCTACGTGCAGTGTATTCAATTTTCACCCTAACTACTTATATCACGGCCAAAGGTCTAATTCAGTTAGTACTTTCTTTTTTCAGGTGCCGTGTCAAAGTATGTTCCTGTTTTTTTTCTTATTGCTTAAATAGGTATGCTTGAAGATGTATGACTTATATTTGTATGTAAGTTATCTCCTTTTCGATAATTCAGTGTTTTAATGTCTGTGAAGATTATTACTTTTTGTTATGCTTAAGTTAAGCAAAATTCTCTTATTTTATTAAATAAAGATTTCGTAGTTAATTTTTTGACTTAATGAAAACTGCGCCTGAGGAAACTTACTCATTACGCCTTCAGTGCTAATGCACAAACCAACAATTTTTAATACACAAATTTCATGATTCAGACAGAAACACCCCCACTGTTTAATAATAGCTAATATTAAAATAATGCAATATTCCTTTCCTTTCATATATATATGACTACTACTAAACAAATGAACAATACAGAATTTTTAAATGGATAAATACAGAAGTGATTTTAAAAATTTAAATTAACTTCCAAAAACCAAAGGAATAGAAAACTGTCTGCAAAAAATATGAGTTTCAGAAACTCATTAATGAAAAATAAATTTTTGATAATATAAAAACATTAATAAACAAAGTAAAGAATTTATAAATCTGTAACTGCTCCTGATGCAAATGGTAATGCACAACATATAATGCAAATGATAGAAAACAGGGACATGTTGGAGTTTTAACTGTCCCTCTTTTATTCATCTGTAGATCAAATACACAAATATATGAGAAAATATGTTTTAAATGAACATGTTGGTAATTCAAATAACATAACTGGATTTCTTTTTCCAATTTAATTTCTATGATCCACACACATATAATTGATACTACCAGATAGTTCACATTTGCAAAGAATGAAATAGGAAATCTTAAAATGTGTATATATAAAATGTGCAATTTAAAATACACTGTCATTATTTACAAAAACACACGCTAATTTCACATAAAATCAATTTATCAGAATTCAATCAGTATGTAAACTTCAGTTTTACATAATCTTTACACGAAACTGAATACTAAAAGATAAATATTTTAAACAAGCATACCTTTTTACAAGTCTTTTTCTAACGGGAGATAATACTTTTTCATAAAATTCCTGGAACCTCTCATCATCAACATCATCAAATACATCACTGCTGCAAAGAATAAAAAAGAAGTTATTTATACGAAAGTTAACAATAAAAAATTACTGCTACTCAATATCAATTAAATTTATATTAATGCTACTGTTTTTTTTTAAATTTAATTTTATTTTATTATTATTAAACCTACGAGCAGCATGACCAGATTTAGCCAGTTATGAGATTTTTTGTGACTTGGGATACATTAGCTTATAACTTAAGATATTTTCTTCTTCTTTAGTTGCACTACAGCCCAATCAAATTCTCCATCTATTATTTTCTCTAATTGGGCCAATATATTTTTCACAATGTTTTTCTTTTAAAAATTAGAAGTCTTTCTTTACCTGTTTCTGTTAATGGCCAACATTCACTACCTCTCGTTTTGCCCTACATTCACTACATCCATCGGTATTTGTTTTTCATGGATTTTATATAAAATCCTCGTTTTGAATTATTAAATTGGAATTTGATAACCTACGGATAATTATTGTTTGATTTTCTTTTACATTTCATATTTGTAATTTTGTTTTCATGTGTATAGTTATAATTTTGGTATTTCACATGTTTCATTTATTTCTATTAAAGCGATATTCTTTATATCAATATATATTAAGAATTAGTACATTACGTATGTAACATCAAAGATCGAGGTCATTATATAAAAATGTTGATTTTACATAAATTTTTTTTTTTAACTGCTGAAAATGTGTGGGTTGGTGGCGATGTTCCATTTCGGGAGGGGGGGGGGTCCTGTGGCTGTGCTTCGTTCTCCGGGTGCAGGTCCTCAAGGGGTTAAGGTGTTAAGAGGATGACACCTCGATAGTTGCAACATTCAAAGTCTGTCTCCTTTTTTAAAAATGGGACAAATGGAGCCCTCTTCCCATAGGTAGGTCAATATTAATAAGTTCTGCCTTAATACCATCTGGGCCTGCAACCCTGTTGTTATTTAGATTTTCAATAGCCTTTCTCATTATACATAAGGATGGTGAATCAGGTTCCAGAGTTCGATCATTTTCAACAATATTCAGGTTGATAGTTAGGTCAGCCTCCTCCCTTGGCAGATCACTTCCACAAATAAGATCTCTAGAGAACTCTCTTCATCTTTTTAGCATTTCAAGTCGATCACATGTAAGCTTGCCTTTGCCTTTTCTATAAGTAACAGTCCAGGGAAAGGCAAAGCGAGATAGAGCACTGATTTTCTGGTAAAATTTTCTCGACTCTTTTTTTTTTATGTTTTTTATTTTTCTATCTCACTAAACTGTTTCTCCATATATGCTTTCTTTTCCATACGAAATAGTCACCTTATCATCTTACAATTTTTATAAACCGTTATAAAGGAGCTGTTGAACCTTATAGAAAAAAACATGCTCAGACAAGCTTAAGCTTGCCTAACAATCAGAACACTAACAATGAAGAATGGAAAACTCCTAAAAATCCTGTTAAACCGACAGGCTTGCCTCTCAAACAGGAGAATGAAATTCCCTGACTTTTCCAGGTGTGTTTTAAGAAAATTTCAGTGTATCCGCGTAATGCACGTTGGCTGTGCTAAGAGGTAAATTAATTATGACATTACTTGAAAACACAAAAATTTGCCAATTACATACGACTTATATCCCCAAAGCATTGCTATTATAATTATAATAGGAGTTGTTTTCTCCATTGAAGATTGAGATTAGAATCTGCCCAATCTAGAATAAAAGAAGGCTTTTTTTTTGGCAGACATTTTGCAGCTAAACAAAAGAAAGAAATCTATTTAACCCTTTGACGTGCGGTGGTCGCGCCTTGAAACCAAAAATTTTCGAAATTTTTGAGTGAAAATCAATTGATTACTGATCTTTTACTTCTAAATAACACAAAATGACTGCAGAATCATACAAATCGGATGCCTTTTAAAGTTCGTTTTCAATGAGATAAAATAACTTTTTTTTTAATATAAACAACTTTAAATTTCAAAAGTTATTCATCGCACATCATGATTTCTATCATAAACAATAAAAAATAGCAATAATTAAACTGAATATATAAAAAAAAACCTCTATATGTATGGCATTTGCTTTGCGGTTTCAGGGTGCGACCACTGAGCCACTAAAGCATTGTGTTACAATGCTCACAAGACCCTAAAGGCTCAGTGGTTCTCACCCTGGAACCACTAACTGCTCTTCACAATGGTGTTTGCTGCTTCTCAAATAGGAATGTTTATTTTTATTCGGATATTGATAAGAGGCCTTTGAACAAGAGTTAATTTTATTACTAAACAATACAGGCACCTGCCCAGTAGAAAATGTCTTTCATTTCCAGAGACTTTTTCTCTGAGCTCAAGACGCTTGCTCTCCTATGCTAGCATTATTGAATTTCTATAAATTATCTTGTATGGTTTAAATTTAAAGGCAATTATATTTTTCGATAATTAAGAATAGAAATCGCGTAAAAATTTAATTAAACTTTAAAATATTTTCTGAATATTTTGGGACAAAATACAAATAAGATAAGTATGAATGGAAAACGAATGATCCGTACCAAAGCCAAAAAGACCAAGCCCTCTCCCCATTAACATAAAAAAACCACAAATTTCATGTGTCAGATGAAAAGAAACTAAATAACGCTGGATATATATATACCAGTGAAATTTAGATCCAGGCAAGTGTACATTTTGCTACACAATGAAGAAACCTCATAGAAAATTACATGTGCGAAACGTGCAATGTGGGTTCATATACCAAAAAGACAAAACATGCTTTGAACAGTGTCACAAAAAATATTTGTTCTTTGAAATTTTTAAAAAAAAAAAAACACCCACTGAGTTTTTTTATCCTTATTTTACTGAGTTTTTTAATGCATTTATCCAAATGTCTTTATTACGTAGGTACTTATATTTTCACTGCTAAAGAAAAAATACATAAATGTTTATTTTTTAATTTTTCCTGATGATTTACTTTGTAAAATAATGTAAAAAAAATTATATATTATGCAATTCCTACATACATTTTTTTTTTTAAATTCTTAAATTTTGTCCTTTTTTGGAAACGTGCAAGGAGAAAGGTAAATTTTTTTTCTACTACCTAGGTGAGTTTCAAAGTCCTAGATGCGTGGTGGTTTCACAGTGCGACCACCACCCACAGAACTATGGGCAAGAGTAGATTTTTTAAAATTCATATATTATTTGTCTCTAGGATCATAATATTGAATTTCTAGAGTTTTTAGTTAAAAAATTATAAAATCAATATTGCGCACGTAAAAGTGTTAATGATATTTAAAAAATAAATTCAAGTATTTTATATTTATTTCACAGCATACATAAGCAAAAAATATGTGCATTAAATTTTGTGATGGTATGTCATTACACTGCTAGAATTAATTTCAGGGTTATGCCAGAGAAAATTTCCTGAAATTTGGAAGTATTATTTACTAATAATAAACAAATTTAGAAGAAGAAGCAACATTAAATGATATGACTAACATAAAAATAAAAGATAATTAAAAATTGAAGTAGAATAATCAACTGTATTTTAGCGAATATAGTTATATTACATGGTTAGTCTAGATGACATATTACTGTTTTTTAATTTTACTGCAAAATGACAAATATGGCATTTACTACAAAGAAAAAAAAAAAAGGTTTAATTTTGTGGTAAAAACCTAGTAAGGCCTTGGCACGATTTTGAAAATTGTCACTAAGACCAAAGTGATCCGTTTACTACTTATCATAATGTCGCCAAATCCTGTGTGTACCATACATAGAGGTTATTCTAACCCACAGAGTATTATACTCCATGTTGTAACCAAAGAACGTCAAAGAACCAAAGAAGAAAAGGTTCCATAGACAAAATGCTATTATTATGCTGCTAGAAAACGGCGGGAAAATTTGCCAAGGAATTTGGTGACGGAACCTGGCGGCCAGAATTTCTTTCTCCATGATGTGTACACAAAATTGAGGAACACGTGTTAAGAAGAAACGTTCTTTGACAAAAGGTTTCTTCTTTTTTTGCGATAATTTAAACTAGGATTTTCATATGGACAAAACGTTTCTTTGATATTTCGCAATAATTTGAAAACGGATTTTCGTTTTTTTTTTTTTCTTCGCTCAAAATAACTAATCCAGTAATTAATTTACTTGCGCCAAAGAGTATTTTCTTTTCCTTTAAAGTTTAAAGAAATTTTAAACGATATTCATTTTACGAACTCTTGATAATGTGACCTTCGAACTTCGACATCGGCAATAGATATTTCGTGCATGCGCAGCTGTTTCCCTCTACGTTGGAATGGAGCCACGCCTGTTGCAGAGAGGTCTTCTTTCTTTACAATACATAGTTTTTCATTCTAACCTCCATTTTACCGTATACAAGGATTAAACCAATTTTGTTTCATACAAGAATATGTACTTTCTTTAGTTCAACATGCGCGGCACATGCGATTCTCAAGGTTACTAAAGACCAAAAGTTGATGAAAATTTGCTTTGCCTTTCTATAAGACAATCTAATTGGAGCTGTGAAAATTGGCTTTATGATACTCACGCAATACACAATTCGCCAAGAAAGTGATTGTTTCCAACGTCGGCGCAACGTGGCAGGATTGTTGTATGAAATTCCAACTTTTCCAGATTTTTACTAAAATATTTAAATTCCTTGACTTTTCCCTGAATTTTATGGTCAATTTTGGAATTCCCTGACTTTTTCCGGTTTTCCAGACTGTTACTTCAGGTAACGTGGCAACCCTGAAAGATCTCTTCTGAACTTGCAGTTGATGATATTCATTACACTAATAAATTTCCTACCTTAGCTTATAATTCGGTTACCAAAAAATCTGATGTCAACTCTTCCACAATGGGAATTTCCCATTATTATTAATAGACATTGACTGGCTAACCCTTGAAGATGCTCTACGAAAAGTTTGCATGGACAAATTTTAAGCTAAATTATGTAGAGGCTCAATTTTTTTCTTCCCTAAAACAGTTGAAAACTACAGGAAACGCTCACAATTTCTGGAATCTAATAAGATCAACTTTATTCTTATCAGCCCAAAAATAAATACACAACTACGACTTTATTATTAAGAACTTTCCGAACACGATCCCGAAAAATCACCTCTTTCAAATCCTGATGATTCGTAAGTTTCCTGTGCGGAAAGTTAAACAATTCACACGAAAAACTGAATCCTTACTTGTTAAATTACCTATCTTTTTTATAGAATTGGATAATTCTATGGAAGACAATGCAATATTTTAAGTAAACAACATTTTCAGCTTCCAAGTTATGATCGAGCTGTACAAGTATAAAGTTAACCACCCAACCCAGTGCTATAAATGCCAGAGGTTCGGGCATATACAAGACTGCTGTTTTAATGAGGAAAGGTGCTGTAAATGCAGAAGATGGCACAGGACTTCGGCTTGCACACTAAAGGAAAGAGAGAACCCTAAAAGTATTTTCTGTGGTCAAAATCATGCGAGTTCTTATCATGGACGTCATGAGTACCTGAAAAGACTGATTGCATTTTGCGGTTTTGCAGCTGAAGATGATGGTTCGGTAAAACCATCGAAACTAGTCCTGTGAAAATTTTGTGAATTAACGCTGATTTTTGTTGTTTGACTTCTGAATCAGTATTTATTCGGCGTGTTATTGTGTCTTAATTACCTGAAAAGACTTGCCAAAATACAAAAGAAATATGGAGAAACAGAAACCTGTTCCTAAGAAATCTGAAGTTAACTTCCCTGTTTTATCTAAAGAAAACCCTACTCACTACTACAAAATCCAGTTATATGGGATAGTAAAGAAAAATCATCTGGACGCTGAAAGAAGCAACCCTTACCTTGACGTTTTCAATAACCAAAATAATCTTCAAAATATCCTGGATATAGTTCAATAAATGAGAATTGCTAAATCTCAGATTGATAAGTGCTACTTGGTTTTCAAGCCCTTCAAATTATATTAACTTCTTCTGAACTTGAAGCTTAACTCTGATTTTCTGTGTGTTTCAGCACTGATATGTAATGGACTATTCACAGCCTCATGGGTTCAGGCCCTGCCCAGCCCACAATTTCTTCAAATGCTTCATGTTATGATTGTTGCATCGTTGCCAAGAATTCTTATTTCCCTCTTTTCCCTTATTTCCTCTCTTTTTTCACAACTACTTTTCTGTCCTCTTCTGAGACTTGTCTAATTTTCTCTCATTCCTCCTTAGCCAAGTGTGCTCTTTCCCCTAGTCTCTCTCTTTTCTGTTTTCTCCTAATTCTGCTCACCCTTACTCTATTGATGTCAAGATAAATGGTAAAAATTGTACATATTCTGAAACAAATCCATCCTTGGTATGTAGGTGTACTCATTTGGAGCCATTGATGCATGGTTGAGAAACTTCACTTGTCGGCATGTGTGTTGCCGTCGTGAGGTGCAGTGTGTGTGAAGTGCCTTTGAGTGTGTGATGTAGTTCGTCATTTGTCCTCAGTGGAGGGAAGTGTGTGTTGTTCTCCGAGTCGTCAACATAGCGATCTCATGGTAGAAGAGAATAAGGTGACATCGGGTATGTAGTTGCTTGCTCGTGTCGCCATCTATTAGCACAATGAGAAGTGCTGTAGCACATGAGTTTCACATGACATTGGGATTTGATCCTGGATTTGTTTCATGCGAATCAAATTATCTACCACTAGTGAAAAAGAGCTCCCATGCACTAGGTTCAAGAATTCCAAGACTTTCAAATTTGCAAGCGTCAAGTGGGCCTTGAGATAACTACAACCTTATATACGGTGTAAAGGGTAAAAAACTTTATTGGGAAAAAAAAAAAAAACACTTCGATATGTGCATTGGACATTTTGAACATCTTCCCATGTAGACATATGCAAATAGCAATGTTTATGGCTCCAATAAAGTTCCTCCCATTTGTAATGGATGAGATGACATACTTTTCTTTCGCACTTATCTCGAAAACTATGAATAATACAGGTACAGTTCTTTGAGCATTTTTTATGTATTCCAAGTGAGCAATCTGGTTGCACAGTCTTGATGGGACACCCTGTATACAGATAACACATTCACAAAAATACTCTAGATTCTGATACTGATCAGGTGCACACAAGAGATTCATCAGCACTAAGTAATTCAAATATAAAACAAAAGAATTACATACTTCTCAGAATCATCAAGTGATGGTTTCTTTGTTTCCTTCATTTCCTTACTAGATGGAAATTTTGGTTTCACAGGTTGCCTATTAAGTTCAGCAGAAGGTGGACTTGGGTATTCTGACATGTTAACTAAATATGCACTGGGAGTATATGGAGGGGTCAAAGGAGAAAGTCCAACTAATCCAGTAGAGGCTAGAAGAGGATTCATTACAGGACTAGGATTCCCAAGCATAGTGCTAGAGGGTAAATTAAAAAATGGATTCAGAAATCCACTTTGGATATGCTGCTGCTTCAGCTGAGGATTCTGTGCATAACATAAAGTCAACTTTTGCAATAAACTAAGAGCAACATCATTTACAGTAGATGGTGGAGAACCAACAACAGCATATGGGCTTCTCTGGAAATGCTGGGCACCTTCAGCTTGGAATGGAGGAATATTAATCCCATAGGCAGCCTAAAAAAGCAAGAAAGACTAGTAAGCAATTACATTGAAATTAATCAGAATAAAAATTAATCTGTCATTGCAGGTGTATGCATACACAATTTAACACTAGGCAATTATGAATCAATAAGCAAGTTTTCAATAATATTTAATGTAAATTCTAATCATTTTTTAAAATCATTCTAATCATTTGAAATATTTCCAATCAAACTTAAATTAAAATTTTTATGTAATATGGAAAGGATGATTTTTTAAAGCCCTTTTCAGAGTGCAAAAGAAAAGAACAGTTTAACCTTTTCCCGGGGGCTGGGACATATATGTCCCACACTTTCATTACTTTAAATGTGTCTCAAGAAATTTCAGTAAACTATGGAGATTTAAAATCTACTCCTTAATATGGATTAGGAAGAGCAAGATCCTGTTGATTTGTTTTTCTGTTCCTTTCATTTAAAATAAGTGATTAAATGGCCAAAATACGTTCGAAATTGGCCCCTATAGCCCACAGGAAAAGGTTTTAAAAAATCCTGATTTAAGGATTTTTTTATCCTCATCATCATGTATTTCTCTCTTTGGGGGGGGGTCTCACACTTTCAAGATATTCAAATTATTTATATTTTTTCTTGCTTACATATTCTTTACTGCAGTTGATTCACCCCTCTCCTTCATACACACAACTTGGAAATTGGAACTGTTTTCAATTCTAGTTACAATATGGGTATCTTTCAGCTAGCTATACAGGTTAAAATACACCATCGCAAAACATTACTAAAATGTGTGATAACGTGCCAAAGATAACGTTATCAGCTGAGAAGTCTTGGTTTTATGAATGAAATCGAGTCAAATATTCATGTTAATGTTTGTAACCTTTTCTTAGAACTGCATGAAATATAATTTGATAGACGACTTTCTTCACATACATTATTTGACTAAAAGCAATTTTAGTGCGAGAAAAAATAGATTCCACAATCTGGGTCTTATTTACAGATGAGAAGGAGGCAGTGAAATTCCTAGAGGATAAAAGAATTCTTTATAGGTGAAGATTTTGTAAAAGTAATCATGAAATGACATTGTGATTTACCAATTACGATACACCGAAATGGCTTCTTAGCCTTAGATCTTACGCAGAAAAAAGAGGTGCTAGAGTTGAAGGATCATGCCTTAGTTTCCTCACAGCTGTAAAATTTATGAACTCTTGATGCCATGAACTGAACTCAGTTGAGTTTTGTAATATGCAATCAAAAATTAACTATAATATAGCTGTCAAATGGAACAATTATATGCAGGGTCCTTGTTATGTACACCTGAACTCACAACTAATGGAAAGAACAGAATAGTAGAGTTTGTTGAAGGTTTTTCTACGCAAAAAAAAAAAAAAAAAAAAAAAAAAAAAAAGAGCAACCTTGGACATGCTTTTCCTCCATAACTGGTTTTTTTGGAGGTCTAACAAACAAAAGAACATTTTCTTGTAGCCATTTAGGATTACTCAGATACTTTATTTTGTGCATTTGGAAAAAATGTCACAGATGGTAGTGCAACTTTTTTCTGATTACAGGAAAGGATAAAAAACAGCGGATTTGAAAAAAACAAGGTGTGATCATCTCACAGTTAACTGATTATTGGCTGATTGTTTATCTTTCTTTACCGCTCATGAAGAGATGGTAATACAAGCAAATTCAGATATTTACTTTCATACACTTTTGCATATTTGTGACTTGTTTTGTTTGCTTTATCATGTTATTACCCCCTCCTCCCGAGGTGCAGTGCTGGCTTGATCCTATATCATGACAGTGTACTCTGGGGGCAAAGCATTTTTGAGCTTGGCGGTTCCAGAACCCGAGGGAAGGTCATCTATATGATTGGACTGAGGGGGATTGCAAATCGGGGGAACTGGTAGGGTAGCCAGTCTGAGTATTCCGAGTAATGACATTCAGTGACAAGCAGCCGCATAGTATTGGCAGGGGCACATCAACGACCAGTCAGATCGCCAAATTAACAACGGTGTTCACCAAGGGTTTCCCTCCAGCGTGGTCTCCGAGACTCGAGGTGTGAAAGCATCTGGTGGCCTGGGTGAGCCCCGGAGGATTTGAGAGAATTCTTTAAATAGGTCTGAGTGTGGTATTGGAGGCACCCCAGCATAGCAAAGAGTATTTTTATAATCCTCTAAGAGGTTAGCGAACATGACCGGCCCTCCTGCTTAACATGGAGTTGGTTCTCAGGTGTCACCCTAGTTGCATTCAGTTACAGGAAGGGGTTGCTCAAATTTGATTGATTATCATGAATTCGTTCTCTCTTTTAATAATATTGCATGCTCACGAAGTTTAAATACAATTGTTTATAAATGGCATTGTTATATTTCAAATGCAGCTTTCAGTATTCATTTTCCTTTTCCACTTCTTTGAGCAGTTTTTGTTACACATATTACTATCACTTACATATTCAAGACCGAGCTTATCAGATACTGAGTATCAGAAGTCTAAGCAATCCAGCTAATCTCCTTTCCATTCTAACATTTAACACAATTCCCTATCGTGTTAAAACTTGGAAGGAAAAATAATAAATTTAAGATAAAGAGGTGTTAAACATTATTGCGGTGTTAAGATTACTACACAAAAATATTCAAAGAAAATCCCCTCCCCACAAATTTTAAGGAAAATTAACTTAATCACTCAAAAATACATCATGTGCAAGCACAATATTTTGTTGAGTAACCAAAGTAGAATAAAACTATTTAACATTCAACTTTCCACTTAGCTACAAAATAAGCTGTGATATGTTAATTTGATTTTAATTCCAAAAAATGTTTGCAAAAAATACAGACTGATCACAGTTCCAAATACAGCATGATAATGGATAATATATGTACAATTCTAGATTGATCTTCATCATGAATCTTACCTTGCATTATGCAATAACCTTTTTCTATAAATCCCCTAAGAAAGCAATTTAATGTTAAAAAAATAAAAGTACCATAACTGTTTTCCAATTTCTCTAAAAATTTTAAAAGTGTTATGCTATTTAATTCTGCTTAGCTATATCATTATTTCTAATTTTTACAGGGTTGCCACACAAACAGGAGAATGAAGTTCCCTAACTTTTCCAGGTGTGTTTCAAGAAAATTCTAGGCTATCCGTGCAGTGCATGCTGAGGGTAAATTAATTATGGTACCACTTGAAAACACAAAAATTTGTCAATTACATATAACTTTATATATATATATATATAATCCCCAAAACATTACTTTTATAACTGTGATAAGAGTTTTCTTCTCCACTGAGGATTGAGATTAGAATTTGTCCAATCGGGATTTAAAAATGTCTTTTCTGCAGACATTTTGCAGCTAAAGGAGAAAGAAATCTATTTATTTTTAAATGAAGTCAGGTATTTTATATTTATTTAGCAGCATACATAAGTGAAAAAATATGTGCACTAAATTTCATGATGGTATGCCATATTACTGCTAGAATTAGTTTCACAAGTATGCCAGAGAAAATTGCCTGAAATTTGAAAGTATTATTAACTAATAATAAATAAATTTAGAAGGAAGAAGACACATTAAATAATATGAATAACATTAAAATAAAGTTAATTAGTTAAGGATTAAAAACTGAATTACAAAAATCGATGGTATTTTGGCGAATATACATATATTAAATGGTTAGCCTAGACTGATTATTATTTTTATTTTACTACAAAATGACAAATAAGGCATTTAAGAAATAAAGGTCTAAAAGATCTTGTTTTATATAAGAATGGGGGGGGGATTTACTTTCAATCAACATGCACTGCACAGGCCCATGCAAATTTCTGGATTCTCGAGGCTACTGGAAACTTCTTTTGCCTTTCTAAAAGACAATCTGATTGGCACTGCTCCGAATATCACTCATGCGATATATGATTTGCAAAGAAAGTGATCACTTCTGATGTCGGCACAAAAATCACTTTTTCAGGGATTGCAGTATGAAATTCCTTGACTTTCCATATTTTAACTAAAATATTTAAATTTGGCCAGTTTTTGAATTCCCTGGTTTTTCCCGGTTTTCCAGGTAGTGTCGCAACCTTGTTTTTATATGGAAATTTCTATTCAATCAAGACTTTCAATCACTTCCCTAAAAATTACATGACAATTTATTAGACATATTTATGAAGCTTTTTATACCACATGTAAGTTTAAAGTGATGGACAAACCTGCAAAACAGCAAGATGGCATGTATATGGGAGCATCATCGTCGCATATCTTGATTGAAATCTACATGCAACTCGCAGAAAATTCTGTTTTCTCGAAGTTTCCCCCAAAACCCTTTTTTTTGGGGGGGGAAGAGGTATGTAGGTGATATTTCTGTGCTATGGAAGCATTCAAAAAATGAATTTAAAACTTTGTTACCTTTTACTTTGGAAAATTTCCCTAACTTGCAGTTGACGATCAACATAGAAGTTAATAATAGCATTCACTTCTTTCATCTTTTAATTTTAAGAAACAGACATGCCACAGATTTCTGTTCCATATAAGAGGTTTATGAAACTGAATATAATTGTGAACTACAGACTGGTGAAAGCAACAGATTTCACACTGATTTTGGAGAAAAAAAAAAAAAAAAAAGAAGAAGAAGAAGAAGAAGAAGAATGTCAGGATTTATTTCTTTTCCTAACCAGTTATTTTATGTTTGATACCTTTACTATCACTCTTGCTTTGCTTTCTTCCTAAAATGCTAATTTTAGTTCACATATATTCAAATGAGGTAAAAAGAGATAGTATTTAAAGGAAGGCTTTAGGTTGTTGAAGGAGAGAGTATTCTGCCTGCTGAAGGCTAAGTTACTAGTTGTTTACAATCTGTCTGAAATGTTGCATCGTTCTCACCATTAGGCATGTCACGCCAGTATTAGGTTTGAGCCAACAACAACAACCAATATATCAGCTCAACATCCAGAAAACTATCAATAATTATCAAATATAAAAAAGATATCTCCAAGATCTCTGTCAACCAGTTCATAATGAAATTGTACATCTTGGCAAATACCTCATCAAGCATCCAAAATCAATAACTGTAACCAAAAAGATGAAATATTTGAACACTAATATTTTTTTTTCCACATTCAATCTGGGTGATAAACTGAATTGGAAATAATATGCAATTAGATGAGTCACTACAGGGATGCACATAGAATAAGGTGACCAGATTTTAACATTGGTAAAGCGGGACACCATTTACCAGGGGGGGGGAGAATCTTGATTAAAAATTTGTTCTATATGGAGCAACACAAATTTCATTGTTGACACAAATTTTAACACAAATTTTAGAACGCAAAAATAGTACTGTTATATATATTTTTAAATTTCAACAAAGTGGAATTTACAAATATAATACATTAAAATATTACGTATAGTATTATTTTACTCTTTGGCATATTTCTCATTTGAGTGAATTCTTTTAGTAGATGGCTGTCATTTTTTGTTGAATAACTTTTGGACAACTTGTAATGCACAAGATCTGAACGAATGATCAGATTATTATCATGAAAGGACATAAAGTCCTTCTGCTAACACTAATTTCTTTTCTTCGTCTCCATAAATTATTTTCTGAAAGAATTCCTTCATTTTGGAGGAAGATGCAGTAGTATTTCAATATCGTTTATTTTTCTGTGTCCCCCGAGTGCTTTGAAATATCATTCTTCCAGCCGGCGAAATAGAAAATTCAGCATTACATTTCTCACATTTTACCATGTAATCGCTTTTGGTTTTTTTAAGAAAAGGAAATTCATTTCTTAGATCATCTTTGAATTTTCCTTTGTTCTTACTATTATGTTAAAAATCTAAAGAACAATTTATATAAATTTATAAATTATTTATATTTTTATCTATATACATTGCCTAAAAACCAGTAGTAGGTACATAATTGAAAAAGATATTTTATTGTTAGTTTAAAAATTAAATAATTTGTTTATTATAATTAACTATATTTTTAAAATTATTTAAATTTTAATCTTATATCTCTTTCTAAATAACAATACTAACTTATATTATTTTCCTCTGAATTTGCTGTAAGTTGTAAGTGTCACTTTCAAGGCCTACGCTAGACATTTTGTCGCCATTATAAAATATAAATAATAAGAGTAATGTCTGCTCAATTCAAGAAAATTTATGTCTTTATGAAATAAATTACATACCTAAATTATCTGAATAGCTGATTAGTTGACATCACTTGTTTAATTAGCACTAGCACACAGTATGATGTGCATCATCTGAGAGACAGTTACAAAATGTTTTCATCATTGCCAATGCCAAAAAATGCTAAGTCCAAACAATGGTGGTCGAATTCTATCAACTGATCAACAATGCGAGCTTTGACGAGCAGTTCTCAATCAGTTGTCAACAATTATTTGTTATTATTAAAATTTAACATTATAAAATTAACAAAAATTATATAAGACTCATATCCTGGCGAAGTAGCCACATGGCCTCCGAAAACTGTATTCTTCCGTTGTTCCCTAGCTTGTTGTGCATTCTTTCCAAAAAATCGGGACTTTTTTAAACGCCATGAGACGCGGAACAACTTGCTAAAAATCAGGACTGTCAGGCCAAAAGCGGGACGTCTGGTCATCTTAACATAGAACTATGACAAAAAACATTTATGCAGACTGAATATAAAGAGCTCAAATTTCAGTTTCAGATATAATACATAAGAAGAGACATATTCTAATATTAAAAAGTTCTCAGAAATGGAAACTAAATACATAATACGGGTAAAGGTAGAAACTAGTCCAGCACCTCTGCAGTACCATGATCCAAGCGTCTCCTACCCCTCCTTCACTTCTACCAACCTCTTGAGAGGATTTTGGCTCGCTGTATAGTTTGGATGCCTTCCTTGCTGCACCGACACTGCACGCTTAAAATTATCCAGGATTCCTCCTCCAGGATTCGAACCCAGGCCCTTTGGAACAACAGTCAGCGTCATAAAAGGTATAGGTTGAAGCAAGGCCAGTATCTGTTCACCTAAGTAGGTATATCATATATTGACAGGCCTTGCTAACTGCTAAAGTTTTACCCCAGACATAACTCACAAGGAGAAAACCTCAAGGTGTGGTTCAAGGGTCCCACCTCTCTTCTTCTATCACCAACCCCTTGAGAGCCCTGTGATTTCAGCCACCATATATTTTAACTGCCTCCTTGCCATACAGACCTTATTTGCTAACAAACATATATGGCTTCTCTGGAATTTGAAACCGGGCCCTTCAGTAGGGTAGTCAGAGACACTAACCACTACAGGTGACAGAGACATCTGGTGCCTACCAATGGTTAATAGGAATTGCCTCCATCCTACTATCAGAACTAGCCACTAAAGAAAAATATATTTTTAAAAGTAATTATCCTGCATATTTAAGAGACTTTTCTAAATAAAAATATAAGTTCTGTGGTATACTCACTTGGCCACCTAACTGGGGATACAAAGCACTCTTATTTTCTGCAAACCCTTCCTTCAATAAGATATCATTAATATAGATATCTTGTTCTCCATTTGTATCACAAAGAATCACAGAGAGTGTTCCATCAATCTAAAAAGCAAAATTAATTTAAAGTTACTGTACAGCTGCATTCTCGGGAAAAAAAAAAAAATTATGATAAAAGACCCCCACAAACTAACTAGAAATGTATGCAAAATTAAAATTACATATATTTTTAGAAATTAAATCTCAAATAAAAGTTTTAATCAATATAGAATGGCTAAAATAATACAGTAAAAGCTTTTTTTTTTTTACCACTATAACTGAATTTGAATGTATTTATTCATATAGCTGCTATATTATAAGAAATTATCTATTGACATTTTAAAGTCTGAACATTTTTAGTTTGATAAAATGTTACCATGGAACTCCTAAGCTTTGATGATCATTTATTTATTTAAAGAGAATTCTACAAAAATTATAATGTTAGTAGAGTAAATAATAACTTAGTTATGAAATATTAAATTTTATTATATCTATTTATTACTGACACATTTAAAATGTATTGTGAAGTAAGTATGTGAAGGGGGGGAAAATCAGACTATTCTAACGATTTTTAAAAATTAAAGAAATAAGCTGTAGGATGATGTTCTTCAAACTAACTAATTCTACGAAAGGCTGTCCAGAAATTTGTTATCAACAACTGGAAGTTCCCATAAATAATATTTTTATTCTTAATAATTTAATATTGCGTATATGAGCATAAAATAAATATGCACTTTGTGAGTCTTGCAGAGATTGTGAATTTTCACAATGTATTTTATATGTGATTTTTACTTCATTTAGTATGGCTGAATAATATCACAGTTTTGTGCAGTGTTTGTTAAAATGCCTGAATTATAATACAAAAATGCTCCGCGTATTTTATACCCAGATTCTTTTCCTTTCAATATGCTCCTCTAATTTTCTGGGCATACTTAAAGAGGCATATATAAAAGCAAGGATAAATACTTAAAGAGGATATAATAAAAGCAAGGAAAGGAAAAGCCACAGCAGTGTTGATGCATAGTTATGCTATATTGAAAAGGAAGTATTCTGACTGCGTCGTAAGCTAATGTGTTGACTTAGCAGTCAAGGCAATTTTAATTCCATTTTTATTTCCAACTGACATTATGTGGCCACAGATCACTTGGCACCCTAATCGTGCCTGTTCAAGAACATTTACATTATTGATATTATTGCAATAGGAAGCAACGTAGCGAAATTGTGTTCAAGCACAGCACAGACAGAAGCTGAAGTGCGCAGTTATGCAAGATGGAAGCACGTAAAGAGAAAAGTTTTGGTTTACAATGGTAGTTTCAGTTCCCACTTATTACGTCATCAGAGCTGCGCAAGCCATGCAAAAAAAGAGAAAAGGAAAGAACTAGAAATGACGCAATGCAGAGAAATTACTACGAGTTTTAGAATAGAGAGGAAGAATTAATGTTTTATCGTTAGTTTAAATTACAATTTTGATCCACATATTTTTTTATCTTACATATATATATATATTCTCAAGATTTGCAAAGATTAAATTCTCATTTAAGATTTGTGAAGAATTACTTTTATGGTACCCCAGCATTAATTGCAAATTTAAAGGGTCATTCACAGATTATCTACGTTTTCTGCCTATTGGTGCATTAATTAGTATGGTTGTAATATCAATAAGAAAAGGTTGGGAATAATTAAACTTAACTCTTTTTTTTAACTACAAAAACTTTTTATGACACTAATGATTTACAGTTATAACAATTTTGATATTTAAATCGTGTTAATGGACACTTATGCACTCAGCTACTCAGAAGATTCTACGAATAAACATGGTGAGCAAAAATAAGAACAGGCAGAAGAGAGAAATGTGGAAGTTTCATCACTATGCAGTCCTACTGTTATACATTTAATCATCTAGTTGATGATGTATTTAGTAATGAAATGATATCCATGAAAGTTTATTTTGTGACATCAAACTAAATCACTTAACAATGGTGATTTAGAAGTTTATATCCAGATGTTAAAAAACACAGAAATAACATGAAAAAAATTTTTTAAACAAAATTGGCACTGTTTGTGACCTTTAAAAGAAGTGGTAGGCTTACTCTGGGAGCATGACACTGTTAACTCTACTGAGAATAAGACAAAGGACATATCACGTACTGAGACTTTGTCATACCAGTTTGTGATACTGATTCTTTGAAGGTAGAAGAACGCATGCTGCATCAAGTGTTAGCAGCAAATATTAAAGAATATGTAGGGAGAAAGAGAATACCGATTTGACACTCTATAAACTAAAAAGTAAGCCCATATTGAAATCATAAAAATTATAATTTTTTAAAAAAAGTACATATCTAAATATAATAGTTTTCACACAATAAATTTCTGCAATCAGGAAAAGACTTTTTTAATCAACTTGTAGGGATTACATGTACACTACACCCCTTCTCTTTTACAATAGACCAGGGATTGCCAAATTTCAAGACGATGGGAGCCGCATGATAGATTTTATGTACGTTTGAGAGCCGCAAGTCCAAATTTATATTATTTCAAAAATAATAAGACAGGTTTTCAATATAAAATAACTTTTGAAGAAAATTAATAAATATGTGATTAACATGATTACATACAAATATGAATAACTACATCTTGTATCTACTGTTTTGTGTTTAGAAAAGGTAAGTGCCAAGAAAATAAAAATTTGTAACTCTTGTAGTGGGCAAGTGAGCAATTTTTCTTCAGGTAGAAAAACCAAATATTATCTTCTGATTTACTTTACACATCTCTGTTTATAATTATTGTTGTTTTAATTTAGTGGAAGTAAAATGAATGGGAAACATATTTGTTGGTCTACAATTACATAAAAATTTTTTTTATTTGAGTAAATAACAAATCATTATTTAAAAAGAAAATTTGGTGTTTTTTTTTTTAAATGCATGAGCTCTTTTTTAGAAAGGATAAATTAAATGATACACGTCAACACTGCATAGAAACTGCTATTCGAGAAAGAATATTTATTTAAAAATATGCTATTAACTTTTTAAGGCTTTTGCTTAAAAAGTAATTTTGTTTTTCCACACAATTAACATCAAGGACCAACATACTGAGATAATTCGAATCTTAGGGTCCTAACCTAAGACATCGTTAAATATTTTCACCAAAACTTTGTAATAACTAATTTTACTGATATTCAGTATAGAAGAATTCACCCAAAAAAAAAAAAAAAAAAAAAAAAAATGTGGTTGCAATTTCAGTGGTATTTAAATAATCAGTATCTCTCATGATGGCACTGACTGATACAGTATTTCAGAATGGCATCTAATGGAATCTGCCAGAATTTTTTAGTAATCAGTACAATGCATATTATTGAAAATTCTCGAATCGTCCCAATAATTTTGGACATAGATAACGAAATTCATGCACATCATTGAAATTTCACGAAACCATCTCTTGAATCGTTACGATAATACAGGGCATACATAACCTATTGCTAATATATCTAGTAGTTGCTAGGCCATATAAACAGTTTGTCGTGCACATATTCCAATCGTCCACCAGCCGAAGGAAACATACCTGTCACTATTACAATGAATTTATTTCGCAAATGCAAATATAACATGAATGCATAACTCTTCATATTTCTATGGACACACAAAGATGCTCGATGTGAAGGCCTTTTGTAACATGGCAGACATCTGCACAATAGTTTAGTTCCTAAGCTCTTGCTAAATAGGGAAACAGATCCACCATATTCTCACTGCTGGACCCATACAGGCGGTCAAATGACTTACCGTCTCATCTTGAACTTCTAAGTAAAATAACTCAGAAGAAAGTTTAAAGTAAATTATCATCAGCCTAACAGTTAAATAGTACAAATTTCCATTGGGTTACCTAACCTGTGCGGAGAAAATAAAGTTTGTAAAAAAGAATTTGAAATGGAGTCGGCAGGCAGATGACACTTTAGAAAATAAAACATCAGACTTAAAAATAAACGTTTATGGGAGCAAACTTGCACATTATTGTGAGAAACTTGTAGCGATCAAGCAGTGAATCATTGTACAATTTTGCATTTGGCTACTAAGCTTTCATGAAGGACATTTCAAACATACAAGATGTTCAAAGTTTAATGTATCAGGCACAGGACAAAAGGTGCAGCAGCAGTACTAAAGGGTGAAAATTTTTAGATATGCCGGGCAGCAAAATGCCTCTAACCTAATGCGATATTTACCGGCCTTTAACCTAGTGCAGCATAATAACTCTAACCTAATGCGGAGTAGAAAGAAAGAAGGTCATCAAACAAGAACTCGAAAAATATTAGTAAATATCACAAGCTAAAGAGATTTCACCAATATCAATATATTAATTTTTACAGAAACTTTGGAGAAGAGAGACGTTTGTGTTCTGTTGATCACTCATTGCTTGATGCAACGTTATTAATGTTAAGATTTGATGATTAAGGTAAAAGATCTCTATCTGGAATAACAATATTTTATCAAATGGGAATTAGACATTTTGACTGGTTGTGAAATATGTGAAGCTATTGCATAAAAATTCCAAACTTGTTTAGGGATAAAAAAAATTTATTTTGAAGGAGTTTTGCAGAAAATTGAGATAAGTGTCTGAACCACATAAGAGGCTGAAGGTTCACTCCACCAAAAACAAAATCCTCGTAAAATTCTTCCACACATTAAGAGAACTCTGTATGGACTGCAAGGCGAAACAGGTTTCTTCAGCAGTTACTCACGCCATGCAAGGACTGAATTAAAGTAGTACCTTATAACGAATAGCAAATCTTCCAGGTTGGATCACAACAATGGGATCACACAGGAATGTAAGCAGATATCGCCAGAAGTCAAATTAACTGGAGAGAAAAAATATTAGGGATAGTAATTAAATAAAAATATTAGCATTGAGTTTTAGATTAACTTTGTATTAGTGACCATTACCTGTTCAAAAAGTAACCTAAACAGAACAGTAATTACCAAAAATGTAATTATTTGCAATTTTACTCATTTGCTGCATTGCAAGTTAGCACTGAACAGTTTGAAATCTATCAAATTTTACATACATAATATGAGTTTTAGATTAACTTTGTATTAGTGACCATTACCTGTTCAAAAAGTAACCTAAACAGAACAGTAATTACCAAAAATGTAATTATTTGCAATTTTACTTATTTGCTGCATTGCAAGTTAGCACTGGACAGTTTGAAATCTATCAAATTTTACATACATAATATCAGAAATTAATTAGTGATTTATAAAGAAACGTGGCACTACATGATTTCAATTTCCACTTGTATTAAAAGTTTAAACTGTATTCATTCGAAATGATTGGCATTTCAGATGGCAAAGGATCGCAAGTAGTTCGCAAGCTGCACTTACGGTGTCGGAGAGCCGCAGTTTGGCCATGTCTGCAATAGACAGATAAAAATAATGATACTTTTCTCTTTATTCCCCCCTAATAAGACCATTTTAACTATATGCATAACTACCAATCTTCAATTATGAAAACAGCAAGATTTACATGCAAAAAAACAGGAAAGTTTTTAAACTGTGCAACAATGCGATTTCAAGATCCAAACTGACTTAAATTTACTTTATAATACATGATTCATGTTACTGAATTACCTATCATTATTCTAATAAAAATATATTGAAATTTAATTGGAAAATCTAGCTTATATATGGTTAATTTCATTTAGTGATTATCTTAAATTTTTAGACTGACAAAATCATCACTACAATAGAAAAGTTTTTATACAATAAGGTACTCTTAGAAGTGAGGAAAATAAAATGAACAATTCATGCAAATATACCTGTGTGGATAAAACTTAGAAATATATCATTCACTAATGAAAAACAAAATTAAACAAATATATACTGGCTACACTTGATTCTTAAAGAAGAATTCTACAGATGCCAAAACAAATTACATATCTAATAAAATTTATGCTGAAAACTATTAATGGTGGGAACCATTAGTGGAAAACCATTAGTGCTGAAAACCATTAGTGGTAGTTTGTACAGTCAAGTACAAGTTTCATTAAGAGATGATGATGCTGTCAGTTTTTTTGTAATAATCTGTCATCATAATTTTTTTCATAACGCTTTTTCTCCCCAAATGTTCAACTTACGGATTAACAATTTTATAGAGTTACATTTTCCAGACATGATCTAAATACTGTGTATTTTCTTCACTTAACCAAATATCCTTTGCATTGAAGCATTGCTGTAAGGAATAGTCAAAACTGATAGACTAATATTTCTTCTTGTTGTAGCCATTCAAGAGTTCCAAAATCAAAACCCTCCGCTTATTAACAGATTTCTCTTGCAAAATTTTATGACAAAAATCGTCATCATACAACTCACAAAATTCTGTTTGGAGATCAATGGTACTACCCCTAATTTTATTTTCAGCTATAATTTCATGGCAGAAAGGATAAAGACATGCCAATAATGGTAAAATAAGAGGCTAAAAATTAAAAATTACATTAGATTCTGTGATCAACCAACAGATGCAGTGAAAAACCAGGATAGTTGATGTGTATTATGCAATACATAAAAAATGGCATATTTTGTCATATTACTATATAAGCTGATACTTACACTTCTTTCTTCTATCTTAGCCATCAATGAAACATCTTGACATAGACTTAAAAGCCTTCTCTTGACAGCAAGATTCCAATTCTTTAATAAAAGAATTAAAAAATTTTAATGAAATCAAGTAATCACATAAAAAAAAAGAAAAACTCTAAAGTCTTTAAATGCTATACCTCTTCCTTAGGTTTCAGGAAAGCAAGTTGAGATTTTAAAGCTTGAGCAGGCAATTTCATGTGTTTTTGCCTGGAAAAGTAAATATTTTCAATGAATCTTAGCGATTCCTAACCAAATATAACATATAAATATTTTAGATACGAAAACAACTTACCGAATGTATCTAAGTAATGATACCGGGACTACTTCTTTTGTACCATAATCAACATAAAAAAGCTACAAATTAAATTATACAGTATTTATTAGCAAGTACAAATGAAAAGTTTATGAATGTTAACTAAAATATGTGTAATTCAGAAAAAGTTTTAAAAATATAAATTTGGATGTCTTACCTGCACCATTTCCATTGAAGGTATTGACATGATTTTTGCTCTGTACCAATGATTATCTCCTGGCCACAGAGCTGCACATGCAGCTCCTACTTTTATATGGGCATTCTTCATTTTGTAGCTATTACTCAATGATCCACGATAAAATGAACTGCAACAAATTTTTGATTATGAAATTTGCCATAAAATCAAATATGAAAAAAAAAAAAAAAGGTTTTTAGATTTTAAATTACATTCAAAGGGGCGGTGTTTTTTTATTATTATTATTTTTTTTAAACGTTTAGTGTGTTAACCTTTATTTATTAAATATCATGTTCTTTGCACTTAAACCATAAAATTCAGTTCAATAGCAATGTCACAAACTTATTTTAAAATGAGCATATCTTAAAAATTTCCAATAACAGTTCCATATGCTGGAGATAAAAAATAATCAACCTCTTATTTTTTATTAAATTTTATAATTATGAAATTAATAGTTAATAAGAAATACCTTTTCATTCTCATTCTATGATGCTCGAAGCTCTTTATGTTGCTATATCAAATATCCTTTTATTTTCATTTAAAGATCTAAAAAAATTTATTTTGTGCAATATGAACTTTATTTCACGATGCATATTAAGTGCTACCCTGACCTTTATTTTCAAAACTATTCGCCACAGACATATATTACAAGTTATTAAAATGACAGAAATGTTCTTGTTCTGGTAATTTTTTTATTTAAAACAATTTTGTAAGAATTACAACAAATTTTTGCACGTTTCCTAATCCCTATATTTAGATTTAGTGAAATTTTGTATTTGTAAAAAATAAAGCATAGATAGTATAACTCCTTATATTTTGGTAAATTATGCATTGTTTTGCTTTAAAAATGATTGAAGTATGTTGTTCATAACTTCCAGGTAAGGTTTTTATGCCTTTAGTTATTCTGCATGCAATAGTCATAGAATTATCAACAATTAAAAAAATTTTCAAGTGCTACTAAGCCTAACGAAGCTGCTACTTGTTTACCTTTGAAACTCTTTAGTAGAATAGTGAATAGTCTCTTTAGTAGAATAGTGAATAGTTTATGCACCAACTTCAGTGTCTTTTTGTCAAGTGGGACCAAAAGTAAATTTTCAGTTATGTGCACTGAAAAATCTGTCTTCTTGCATGTTGGCCAAGTGCTTATTTTTGTGTAAACTCTAATTTTAATTGAAAAAAATTAAATTAATAAAATTAAATTTAAAAAATATACTTTTTTTAAGTGTATTTAACGTTTTATGTTTTTCTGTATTTTATAATTTTTAATGAAGATGTTATGAGTTTTTATGCACTTCTGCCTTGCCATGAAATGACAATTGAATTAATTGAACAAGAAATCTATCTCTAAAATGAAATTCGAGGAAATGCGTTTAAACGAAATGCAGCAAAAAATGCGTATAATTTAATAGGCCATACAAGGAAGTCATGTGGTGTCCACGTCAGATTTTTTATGGAAAGAATATTTTTTTAATCATGAATATAGGGACCAGAGGAATGTATAAAAGTTAGATTTCATATTTTATACATTTTTTTTTAAATTTAAAAATATGAAAAATCTGAATATTTTCAAAGTTCAAATCATTTCTCTTACTGGAATATGACCAACAGTTGCATAAATAAAGATCGGCTAGGGACTTTTTGTGGACACGATGTATACATATAAAAGTTTCACAGAAATGTTAAACACATACTTTTAGGTTCTAAATTCTCATCCAAAACTGGGAGGAGGGGGATATGCTAGCATTTTTTGAAGGTTCATTTCTGAATGGCATATAAACTCATACATGGATTACATTTCAAATTTAGATTTAACTTTCAAGTAACATATGAATTAGAAGTTTCCCTTGACAAAAGATTGTTCATGTGAACTTTACACCAAACTTCTTTAATATTAACCCTTTGTAGTCTGCAGTTATTACTTATCCAGTCCCCTGGGCATAAAACCACAGAGGCAAACTTCACTGATGTAAAATAATCACAGTATATTGTTTTCATGCATTTCCTGAAGACATTTTTTACTTGAAATATTCTGATACTTTTCATAAAGCTAGGATTTGTTCTGATCAAAGTATTTAAAATAATTTCATTTTAAAAAGAGGGGAATGTTCCCAACATTCTTAAACAGGGTTAGTAGCCACATTTTAGTTAAAAAAAAAAAAAAAAAAAAAAAAAAAAAAAACAAAAAAAAAAAAAAAAAAAAAAAAAATTTATCAAAAGCACTTTTCAAGAATTTTAAAAAAAAAAAAAAAGCACCTGTCTAATTACATTATGCACAACTTCATAACCTTAAAAGAGAAATTAGACTTGTAATTTAAAATATGAGAAATTCAGTATTTATTAAGAGAGAATGAGCATTACTCAACTATGGAAAACAAATACCCCTTTTTTTTATTTTAAATAACAGTTCAATTTACAGAACTAATTTACAAGAAAGGGGAAAACTATGCAGAACTAAACTATATTACAATATTTAATGATGAAATTTCAGTTCAAAATAGAGAAAATAAATAACAATAAGCCATATTTATTATATTCAACTTGGCATCTAAAGATAAATACAATTTATTTTACCACTCATATTAATATTTAAATAATTTAACTTTAATCAAAATTTTGAACATTTTCTAATTTTTCATTGCATAACAGTTTTTTCTTAACAGGTATTCCAAGCAAAGCAATTTAAGTAAAAATAAGTAGAAAGAGGAACATTTCTGAAATCAGAAGACGGAAAATTGCTTCATGCAGTCATCCTTTAACAGTAAAAACTTAACTAACCGGCATACTTGGAAAGGAAATTGCCGAATATATGAAAATTCCGGATAGTCGAGCGTAACTGGGAAAAGAGGAGCTGGGAGGATTATAGCCAGTCTTTAAATGTTGCGGCTAAATAAAGCTTTTGACATTTCGATATGTGCATCACATAAAAATGGCACAATGGAACTGAAAAATATTCTGCTTAGGAAGCACAGTAAAATTCTTTTAAGGGCTCATAAACAAATCCCAGACTGAACATCAAAATTAATTATCTCTGCAAAAAATTGCAAATGTTATTGTGCAGTAAGTGCAACTTATTTCTTCTGTAAGAGATATTACGGAATCGGAATCAACAGCTGCCGGTATTCGAATAATAAAAAACTAAATAAACAAAAAGAAAGAGACTTACCAGTTTGGGGTGTTTTTTATTCTAATTTTGAACAGACTGCGTTAAATTTCCAGAACAGAACTTTTAGTTCTATTCAATCCAGATTGGAAAGTGACAAAAAAAAAGTCCGTTGCTTGTTTTGCTGCAAACTGTAACGGTTTCAATAGAGATTTTGCGGAAAAAGGGAGGACTCCTTTCTTAACTTTCCTACTGTATAATGCAGTGGGAAAAAATTATTTAGACTATTCAATTACTTTCACTTTATTTAAGCCATTCCAAATATTATTCCTTAGAAAGTTAATCTGTGTTAAAACACACCTACTTTTGAAGTTTATCTATAATTCAGCAGTTACTGCAAATATATTAATATAAATATTCATATATGCTCATAATATAAGCATAACGATCATAATAAACGTGAATATGAACTGACCATGCGGAACGAGAACCCAAATTATTAAAATCTTGATAGAAATTCAAACATGTGTAGTCTTGGGGAGGGAAACAATACGGAATGTACCGGAATTTCCTACCGATTTTGCAATTCTTTGACCAATAGAACAACATGCACCTGTCTGTACTCCGTGCATCAAAGGTTACTTTAATGCAGAGAAAAGGGCGAAAAGCTATTTCTGGGAGTATGATTCACCATCTGATGTTCCAGATAAGGAAAAAAAGTTGTTTTTAGTTTCAGCTTGGTACAGGGAAAAAATGCACATTCATTAAAAAAAAAAAAAAAAAAAAAAAAAAAAAGAGCAAGCACTAAAACAAAAACAAAAAAAGTGCTTTAGAGGAAAAGTAAGCACTTATATTAGCCTTTAAGACTTGTACGCACCACTACGAACACTGTTAAAAAATGTGTTCAGAACTATTAACAATATCACTGTTCAAACAAACCAAATGGATCTGTTGTACTAACTCTAATTCTTCACTAAGTATTGACAATGCATCTGTAGTGTCAGTTCCTTGTATTTGAAGGTATATAAGATCAGGGCTAAATATTGATGATGTATAAACTGGCATATATTTGGAATAATCAAAGTCAGATGGGAGCTGGTGCAATACAAATTTTGAATCTGGGGAAGCAGCATCAGATGGAAGAGCCTGTAAGGAAAAAAAATAATACCAAAATTTAAGAACATAGCATGCAAAATTTTTGGACACAAATAAAAGTGTGTTAAAGCTTCGTTTTATTTTTCTGAAAACCTTTAATTATTATTTTTTTAACATTAATTAATTAAATTTTGGTTTATAACAGTAGAGCCATCTAATATGATCCTGATTAAAAGTGAATCTTAACCATTTAAGAAACACTAAAGCAAAATAATATAAGATGTTATACGAGCACTTGGCTCTTTTTTTCTTTTGTCATATTTTCTCAGCATAAGATGTCACAAGTTTGGTTTGGTATTTTTCCTGCTCTTAAGTGTCTTTGTAACTAGTTTGTATAAACTTGTTTTCATCATCATAGCATTCTCCCCCCCCCACTGCAATCAAGTTCACAATTGCAATGAACCAAGCAATGAACAAAGAGTGATCCTGTTCTGCTCCTCCCCCCCCAAAGAAAGACATGTTCTTTCACAAATAAAAAACTGAGTTTGAATATCACACCATGAAATTAAAATGTGATTTAGACGGAAAATTTTTATGCAGCCTTTTTTAATGCCAGATCACACACCTCTTTTTGTTATTACTGTACAATTTACTTGCTGTTTAATACTGCACACCAAAACATGCTTCATATGAATCACAGCACAATGGTTGATTGGAATAATTACCTGACAGAGCTATGTGCTAATTTCTTGTTATTTATGCCTAGTGCTAAAATCGAGGGAGTGGGAAAGAAATAAGTCGAAATGTGGCAATATGTAGCTAAAAATGCATCATATGGTTTAATGGAAAAGTACTGTAAAAATTTTTGCTATAATTATAATATGCTATAAAACTCTACTGAAAACAAGCGATTATGATTGAAAACTATAGACAACAAGCAATTAAATTTTTTTTTGCAAAAAATGAAACTTAAAAAAAAAAAAAAAAAAAAAAAAAAAAAAGAAGAAGAGAGAAGTGTATTTCTAGAAATTTTAATCACATTTTAATTACAGAGCATTAATATGCATAAAATGGGTATTTGAAATTGGTGAAAAAATACATATTTTACATTTTAATTGGATATTTATGCTAAAAAATTGTCAATAAACCTACTTAAATGGCAGTTTTTGTTTCTTTTGTGCTAATAACTATTTTGTTGCTATCATTTAAGAGTAGATATAAAGCAATTATTTCTCTTTGAAATTTTAAGACAAAGTTAATACACTATTGCAATTTTAAGTTTATACACTATTGCAATTTCTTTGATTGCAAACAACCCACATAAGGTAATATTTCAAAACTGAGTATTAAAAAAAGAGACAGAAATCAAAATTTTCTGAAAAAACATCTGGAATTTTGAATACAACAAAAACATGTATGAAAATGAAAACAATACTTGTTAAAATTACAGAGTTTTTCTGCACAAGGCTGCCAGATTTGAATGCATTCTAACAATCTGGCAACTTTAACAAGGTAGCTGCACTAATACATAAGTACACTAATATTCTTGGTTCTCTCTCATTATCTGCAGTGCAGAAAAAGCTACCAACATATATTGATAGCTTGGTTATTTCACAAAAAACATTTGGCATTTGTGATTCCATTCACAAATAATAATATTACAAAAAAAATTATGAGAAGGAACAAATGTCTTTATGGCTAATGTTTATATTTTTACAGCCAGTGGATTCTGCTGAGTGAAATGATGGCTAAATATAAAGCGTATTGTTATGAATTTTGTATTTAGTTAGATATTTTTAGTAGAGTTATAAAACTGTTGTATTTCCCCGTGCAATGCAACACAAGACAAATATTTAGAGAAAGCTATGCCGGAAAAGTAAAAATACAAGAGCATGTGCATTTAACATTTAATAAATGAATAGTTTTAATTTGTATTGAAATTTAATAAATGTAATTGACTACTGTATTAGCTGCAATATAACTCTTATTACTTTCCAGAAATCTTGAGAAGTGAAATGTGCAAGAACTATATTGCACGGCCGATTGAAAGTTATAAAAGCCAGAGAGAGAGATCTCAGCTCAGTTGCTTAGTTACTTTTCATGTGATTTGTTTAGTTCTGCATGAACTGAGATATCTGAATTAGCTTTCTTTTTCTCTTTGAATTGCATTGAATTTTAACGCTTTTAGTAGTTTAAACTACTGGTTATATTGCATGATATTTTGAACACTTGCACGAAAATTCCAGCATTTCTTTTGATAAGAATACATTCGTAATATGCGTATGGCAGATCGTGAACAGCCTACCAGTCGTGCAGTTTCGAAGATACTCGTTCCGTGTCTTCGAGCCATTACAATCTGCACTCTACCAAATTCGCTTAGATCAGCAGCCTTTCCCAAGTAAGTGCAAGAATGATTCCTTACCTTCTCCAGCAGCAGTTAAATGCCAATCCCACTTAATCACATGCCCTCCTATACTAATACTAACTTCTATAAACATTCATATATTTTATGCTTTAAGATTATTTATATAATTTTACTGATAAGTAATTATTATTTTCTATAAATAAATTAACTCACTGATAATAAATGTTTGATGTTCATATTGTGGTTATTGTAGAAATTTTTAAAATAATTAACATTGTGCAATTCATAACAAAAGTATTTCACTGATACATAAAACACACTATAACATATTCTTTGACATAACAGCCATTTTAATTTTATATAAAAGACACTTTTTTTAAATGATGAAAAGTACTTAAAAACGTCTTACTGTCATTATGACTACTTCATTTATTAAATTTCAGTTTATTTGAAAATTAATAAGAAATGTATACTGAATTTTTCTGTACTTACCTCCTTTTCAAAAACTGCAGGAGCACTTACAGGTGGTTTTATCGGGATGTCATCATATGTTATAAAATGAACAGTTTTTGAGTCTAAAAAAGTAATTAAGCACTATTTTAAGAAAAAGACATTTTACAATACATAAAATATCATGCATTCTAAAAAGGTAATTTATTTAATATGATGTATAAAAAAATGAAATTTCTAGTAAGTGATACAACATTTTTTATAGCTAACTTTCGAGTGAAAGTAAAAGATATATAGAGAGAGAACTATGAATAATTGTAATTATATATACTAACAAATTTATGTACACTTACTATAAACTGGAATTTAAATAAGCACTGATATTAAAACTGCCTATAAATGAAGAAAAAACTTATGCTAAATATTTGGCAGTTATTAATGTTTATTAAGAGAAATCTTTGAAAAATGAAGAAAAAATATATGCTAAGTATTTGGCAGTTTCTGATAGAATCTCTGTTATAAGAGAAATTTTGGATTTATGAAAATTGAGCCCCATGTGTTCTTATGAAATTTACTTTCATTAAAATTAAATGAAAACTGTGGTCTGAAAAGCTAATCATTCTCATCTAAAATTTAAATGTGCTCATTTTCAAAAATTCTTGCATTTAAAATACATGTTTCTATGCTGTAGGTTAAATTACAATTTTACAATTAGTGAAGATTTTAACAGTATCAGCAACAAAGTAAAATAACTGAAGTCAAAGAACTAGCCTTCTGAAAAATATTAGAAAAACAGTAAAATTTAAACCTTAAGCTGACAAGAGGGGGGGGGGCGACAGGCACAATTAGTTAAGCATGAGAAAAAGCAGCTTTGATGGCAAAGAAAAATCTACAATATCTTAGTACAGTGTCTTGATTATCCAGGATAATGATTGGGGAGCAGTTTGCTGATAACTGAAAAACACAGATAATCCAAACTATGAATTTTTATTCATATTCTACATGTAATCTTATATTCTTAAAAAAAATCAATAATTTTACTCTGTTTTTGACAAAATTTAAACATTTGTTAAATTTCACTGCATATTTTTTGGAATGCTATTTATCTTATTTTCGGATCCAGAAGAGTTTTAACAGAAGTCAGTGCTATTAGGACTAATGTAATTGTCCGTACCTTCTTTCTTTGTATGTTCAGTAACACTCTCTGCCACTTCTGCTCTTGTGATAGTTGAAATGATATCTGCATCAATCAAGCATTGAAAGACAAGTTCAGTCGAATCGCCGCTGAACGATTCTTCAACATATTCCGTATCGACATTTTTGAAGAATTTTACATTTTGAATTCTTGGCATATAACTTCAGATATTACCTTGAACTCCATGATCATGTGCATGTTCACTTTTTAAACACTCTTGCATAGCACTGAGTGTGTGCATGTGGGTACCGCAATGCACTGATAATTAAGAGAACACTGTATTTGGTTATAAAGCAGATATGCTAAAACTTCCTGCTTGATATATCAGTGATTGCACATTCATAAGATTGACGGTAAATATTACACTAGAGAACAACAACAAAGTTGCTATCCACTTAAAGGCCCATAGAAAGAGTAGCAACAGCAATTGTTTTTTAGTCTATTGAACATAGACAGCAATGATTTTCACTGCAATAAAAGGCAGGATATGCTACTTGCCAAATTTAAGGAATGTAATTAAGGAAATATTAATATTGTTCAGCTTTAAATTAAAAACTTAACACATGGCCATATGGACAGGAGTAGGTTCTGGGTTGAAATTCTACTAAGTACTATGCAAGGGATATGCACTATGCCAATATCTCTTACATTGCAATCATTTCTTACATCATTTGAAACTGTGATTTTGAAGTGAGCATTGAAGGCTTTAGTAAATCGCATCGCTTTAACTGAAATACAGTTGATCTAGTATTCGTTTTAGTGACTCCTGCCAAACAAACCCAAACACAATGCTGGTTTCAAGTGCAAAGTCATTCAATTTGCGATAGAAAATGGAAATCGAGCTGCAGCAAGGATGTTTGGTATTGGTTCCATACAACAGTGAAAGAAAAATGATATCAAAATAATTAATATGCTGCAGAATGAATGTGATTTGCGGAAAGGAATAAAGAAATGGCCTATCCTAAAAGTGAGTGTTGTGAACTGGGTCATAGAAAATTGCTAGAAATGCAAGTAACAGCATCTAACTATTAAAAATCAAATATTTCTATGTTCAACTTCTCCCTTATTTTTTAATCATTTCTATATTCGGCATATAATGTGCACTCATAAATTTTGATCTCATTTTTTTGTATTAAAAGTACACATTATACACCAGAATATAAGGTAATTTTCAATGATTTAATGAGCCCACATAAATATATAATAAAACAATGAAATTTTGATTAGCTCTGAAAATTAAAATATGATACTTACTACCACTTGTTTCCACTTTCAAAGGCACACGTTCAGCTATACTTAGGAGGAAATGTTCAAGTTTATCAAAACCCAGATCTCTGACATATAATGGCTCATTGCAGTTAATCTGTAAAATAGAACTTATTATTAACAATTATCTATAGATGGCTATTTCATTGATATTGTGACCAGTTAGAAATGGATGAATAATCACATTTAATATTTGGTTTAAAAATTGTTAATCTAAGTAATTCAATGAAATTTTATTGCTCCATTAAACTGTTCAAACAGAAACATATAAACTGTACAAAAGAACATAGTCTTCCAAAAAATATTCCTTAATTTAGTTTTACAATGGAACACTTTGAATTTTGAAGACAAAAATAGAAGTACTTAAGAGAAAATTTAATATGTATTGCATATCTGCTACCTCTGAAACTAAAAAAAAAAAAAAAAAAAAAAAAAAAAAAAAAAAAAAAAAAAAGAGAGAGAGAGAGAGAGAGAGAGAGAGGGAGAGCTTTGATGCTGCACTGTCATGATTTCAAGAGAATGCCACACTTATTTTATTCACTTTTTAATGCACGATTCAGGTTATTGAAAGCTTTATAATGTGATTATGATATAAAATGTATGAATATTTAATAAAATATTCTATATTTCATGTTTTTTGACTAATTTTACTTAAACTTCCAGCACGCGTGCTTAGCAATTTTACATGAGCGCACGCGCGTCGTAATTTTTACGACATTCGTTACTTTATCATTTTTAGCACGAAAAAGACCGAAATGAGTGAATGTTGATAATAAATTTGTTAAGAAATAAAATAATAATCTTATTATTGCAAAATACAAATGATATCACATTCAAATATAAGTAAATTATTTTTAAGTTCTTATGTTAGTGAGATGGAAATGATGTATTTCATTATAGAACATTTTAAATTATTATATAATAATTATATTTTTAAATCGAAGTTAATTTTAATATTCATCAAAGGCAAGTATAGACAAATAAAAAAGGAAAAACACCTTAGTAGGAAAAAAAAGTCAGTTTAGCATTACTTACTTCTGCAAGGAAATTTAGTTCTTACTGGTTACAAAAACGCACTTTAAACTAACTTTAAATATATTTTTATTTATTTCTGAAAAATAGACATAAAAGAAAATAAGGAATTGAAATTGCTATTGTTCTCCCATCCACAGGTTTTCTTGTATTCCTTTTCTTCATCATATAATTTTTTAAGAATGTGAGCAAAATCTGCTTGTTGCACATATTTTTTTTTCACGAAAACTGATATAAAATTTACAGAGCCAAATGTATTCAAATTAAAATAATACACGGCAATTAATAACACAAAATTACAAAATATTTGAGAAAAAAAAAAATTTCCGAATTTTCATCCACGAACACGCGCGTGTCGTAACTTTTAGGAAAAAGCTGCCATGTAGCACAAATGTCCAGTTAAAAAAAAAAAAGTTCAAGTGACTTCCTGCTGGCACACTCCACGATACGGGGAAGGGTAGAAAGGAGGACTAGACGTCTGAACTTCGATATGCGAAAAATGTGCATTGAAAACTGAATTTGTCGTTAATTTTGCGCATACGCACATGCTGGAAGGTTAATTATGTGATTTTCTTAAATTTTTTAGCCAAATAAAATCTTGAATAGGGAAGAAAAAGCTTTTACTTATCAAAGAAGTTTTAAATATGATGAAAATAAAATTACAGTACTTTTAGATTGTCTGCGTTTTGAGTTCCACTGGAATTCTCCCTTTTTGACAAATTATACATGCAACAATAAATATTTCATGCACGCTAGTAGAACAAACACGTTTGAGTATATGCAACTTTACACGCTTTATATTTAATTGTCATTTTGCCAAACTGGATGTAAAAATGTAAATACTAATCGCATAATTCTGTTCATTTTTTTGGGGGGGGAGGGGAATATTTCTTTTTATTACTATTTATTATAAGAATAGCATTTATGAGTAATAAATACAGCCAAAACCATATTTTTTTGCCAATGTCTTTTTATGGGGTGAGGATAATCTGAAAATACCAAAATTAGTAACTAAATAATAAAAGTAATTAGTTAAAACTAACTGCAAATTAAAAAAACACATAAACGAATGCAGCTAAAAGTACATAGGATGTTCCTTGATATAGTAAAAGTTAAATAGTCCAAAACCCTAGCAGACGTAAAGTAAATTATCACTATGTCTGAAGTAATTACAGAGGGTTTGAATATATAAACTTTTTTTTTATTTAAACAGAAGTTTGAATATCAGTGCTAACAAAATCAACCACAACTCATGTGATGCAACTAAAGAAACAGTAAATTTCAATGTAAAACATAGGCTAACAGTCAAAGACTATAAGTTAAATTTTAATCTAAGCTGGCTCAATAACTCTACTGGTGCACCAAATTCAAATGTCGGCAGTGATGACACAAAGCCAAATAAACAGGGTTCGTAGCCATATTTTAGTTAAAAAAATAAGCACCTATAAGCACTTTTGAAGCACATTTAAAAAAAAAAAAAAAACAATAAGCACCTGTCTAATTACATTATACACAACTGCATAACCTTACAAGAAAAATTAGACTTGTAATTTAAAATATGAGAAGTGCAGTATTTATTAAAAGAGAATGAGCATTAACCTCAGCCACGGAAAACAAAAACTTTTTTTTTTAATTTTAAATAAGAGTTCAATTTACAGAACTAGTTTAGAATGAGAGAAAAAAAACTATGCAGAACTAAACTATATCACAAGATTTAATGATGAAATTTTAGATCAAAATAGAGAAAATAAATAATAATATGCCATATTTATTGTATTCGCTTGGCACCTAATAATAAATACAATTTATTTTTCCACTCATATTAATATTTAAATAGTTTAACTTAAATCAAAATTCTGAACATTTTCTAAATTTTTATCGCATACCAGTTTTCCCTTAACATATATTGCAAGCAAAGTAATTTAAGTAAAAAAGAGGAACATTTCTGAAATCAGAAGACGGGAAATTTCTTCATGCAGTCGTCCTTTAACAGTAAAAGTTTAACTAACCTGCATACTCGAAAACTGCCGAATATTTTGGAGAGTTGAGCTAACTGGGAAAAAGAGGAACCGGGAAGGGGTAGATTGTAGCAGTTCTTTAGATTTTTGGATTAAATAGTAAAACTCTTTTAAGTGTTCATAAACAAATCTCACTGAACATCAAAATTAATTATCTCTGCAAAATATCGCAAACGTTATTGCGCAATACGTGCGTCATAATTCTTCCTTACGTGATATTTCACAATTGGAATCAACAGCTGCCGGTATTTGGAGAATAAAGAACTAAATAAAGGAAAAGAATAAGAGACTTACTAATCTGGGTGATTTTTCATTCTAATTTTGAACAGACTGCTTTAATTTCCAGAATAGAATCATTCTTTGCTTGTGTTGGTAGACCACAGAACGTTTAATTCTATTCAATCCAGATTAGGGGGGGGGAAGTTGCCTGTTTTGCAGTGAACTGTAACGGTTTCAATATTCGCAATTTTGCAGAGAAAGGGGAGAACCTCCCAACCTCCGTACTGTATAATGTATTGGAAAAAAAAAAATTTAATTATTTTGACTATTCGATTGCTTTCCCCATTAAACCATTCCGAATATTATTCCTTAGAAAGTTAATCTCTGTTAAAACACACTTACACATTTCTGGAAGTTTATCTGTTCTGCAGCAGTTACTGCAACTATATTATTATAAATATTCATACATATACTCATCATATAAGCATAATGATCATAATAAACGCGAATATGAACTGACCACGCGGAAGAGAATTCAAATTATTAAAATCTTGATAGAAATTCAAACATGTGTAGTATTTTTGGGTGGGAGGAAAAGAATACCGAATGTACTGCAATTTTCTACCGCTTTCGCAATTCTTTGACCAATAGAACGACATGCACCAAAGGTTACGTTAATGCAGAGAAAGGGGGAAAAGCTATTTCCGGGAGTATGATTCACTATCTGAAGTTCCATCTAAGGAAGAAATGTTGTTTAGTTTCGGCTTTGGTGTAGAGAAAAAATGCACGTTCATTATATATATATATATATATATATATATATATATATATATATAGCTTTAAAGAGAAAGTAGGGCCTTTATATTTTATTTTCATATATAAGAACTTATAAGCACTTGTAAGGACCGCTACGAACCCTGAACAAATGTATCAGAGCTGGTTGAATTAACAGAATGTGTCTGTGAAAGGCAGAAACACACTGTTTTACAATTCAAAAGCCTCAGCTTAAATAGCATTGAATTAATTTTCATTCTGGTGAGAAAACTGAAAGAAATGATTCACAAAATTTAACTTGTGTTTATCACATCTCAAAAGTGCAACTTTAGACATATATTAGATTTATGTATAGCATTATTCTAACATACGTATTTTGACATGAAATCAGACTTTTTCTGAAATAACACACCAAGTTTTTTCCATATTTCGATTCTGAAACTCGCCTAAGTAGTTTTTGAAAAATTAGCTGTCAAAATTTTAGCTCCTCCATGTTAATTGAATTTGGTATATATTCATTAACATTTCATTTTTTTTATTAAATTTATTTGATTCTTCCTTTTTCATTTCAAAATTTAGGCTCATTCCAATTAAAATGTGCCCATTTTTCATGATTTATTCTTAAAATTTGTATTTTTAAATAATTCTTATAAATTTTCGAAAAAATTTTGGCATGCGAATATATTATGGCAAAATATGCATTTTGTCATAAAGTTGAATTTTTTCTAAAATGACTTGCCAGTTAGTTTCTTATTTGGATTCTATAATTCAAATATGCCTAAAAACCAAATTTTCTACAATATGTAACTTTTCGTTTTTGTTTGTTTGGGGGGGGGAGGTAAAATTTGGTTTGACACTTAAGGTGTAATTTAGCAATTAAGTTTGGTGCGCTTTCTTCCCTCTTAACCAAGACTAATTCACTTTGTGAATTTCTTAATTTATATTAATCTTTTCACATTCCCTTCCATTCATTCTGCATATATGGGTAAAACATCTTATTTCTTCTTTATCTTGGAAATATTTTTATACTTTATATTATACTTTTTAATCACAATTAATTTTAGATATTTTTAAAGAATTTTAATTATTTGAATTGCACATTGAAATGTATTTCTTCAAAAAATTATTTAAAAAATTTTATTTATTCATTCAGATTACATATTTATTCATGTAGATGCTTTTTCTGAATTTGATTTTGGTAATGTGAATTGCATTTCTTTTGAAAAAATACTTTGTGACTGAGTATTTGTCACTATACCTTTAATTTGGTTTAATTAATTATGCCAAAGCAAGTGATTATTATCTGCCTAAGAGGAGCAATGCCTCCATGGAGGACATTTTAAGGGAATCTGGATCATATACATATACACATAGGAAAACCCATGTGCCAGCCCATTTGCGAAGAGCTCCGGGCTGAACTACCAGTATTCTGCTGGGCTGCTGGAGGGTCCACATTCAATAGATTTTTATCGTTGTTGTATTGTCCATTTTTAACATTAGTGCTGGTGTGTTTTCGGATCTTTTTTCGTCCTTGCAGGATACACTTTAAGTTGTTGTCCTTAAGTTGTAGCCATATGTATAGCTCTAGAGCAAATATTAGCTACACATTACAAGCTTGCAAAGGCAGTCATTTTTTCTGATTCTCAAGCAGCCATTCAATCAAATTAGCTCTGTTGAATTCCCTTTAATATCTGAAATTTTGTAATGTAAAGAAATACTGAGAACTCTCACTTTAAAGGGGAAACAAATCATTCTCCAGTGAGTGCCTGGCCATTGTGGCAATGAACAAGTGCAAAAAGAAGTGCCAGCTTACTACAGCATCTTAATACAGCCATTTTTTATTAGAGGATTAAATTGTTTTTTAAAAAATTATCTACATCTAATAATATCTTACAAGATCTTCAGACTTATACGGCCTTAAATAGTTGGAGAAGGTTAAGTCCTTCTCTTACTCCTGACAGCACAAGATGCAATGCAGTTGTGGCTTTTCTACAGGACATGGTTGCCTTGTCTGCCACCTGTACCACATTAAGGCATTTCAATTGATCCTATTTGCCCACTTTGTGATACTGGAGAAAAAAATGGACAGGGACAATCTACTAAGATGTGGGGCTCTTTATGGTCTTACAAAAGAGTCAAAGCACTGGGAGGAAAGAATGCTCTTTGGGTAACGATTAATGTGCTTTAATTCTTTTCTATTGTGTGTAACCTTTGCTTATACGATTTTAGTTCTTTGTAACTTTTTGTCCAGAACTGGAAATAAATAAATTAAAAAAAAATTATCAAAGATCGAACTTTTGAATTTTAACAGGGAAATCAAAGACTGGCTTTCTTGTTAGAGCTAATAATAATTAAAAAAAAAAAAAAAAAAAAAAAAACTGAAGAGGATTAATTCCCTCAAACTTACATTTCATTGAACAGTACATTAGTATAAAATCAGAATGTTGATTTTTATAATAAGTCAGCAACTTTGATTAAGACTTTTGGCAAAGCTGTCAAGCATAAATTTGTTGCTGAGTATGAATAACTTTATATGAATTTGGTGCTTAGAATTTCTTTTTTACGTCAAGTTATTATTTCACAGCCACAAAAATGTTCTAGTAAATTAAAGCATTCTAAAGGGCTGCTTAGTATGTAACTTTATTAACAGTTTCTACTGGATTATTTCTATGAATTCAGTAAAATACAGATGGCAGTTATTTAAACTTTCTGATGATGTTACAGTGAAAAATTGGAATTTATTCAAAACTGTAAATGAATTTCATTGAATATTTCTAAGATTAAAGAATTATTTTCAGAAATGTAAAAATATTAGGAATACTAAGTTGAAAATTTTGGTAATTATTACTGGATTGTTTCATTGGACCATTTATGTTAAAGAAGCTGTGGACTAACAATTCCGAGCACCTGCTGGACTGTTTCATCATCGATAAAGAAAGAGGATCATAGCAGAACCCTTTGTTAATAATCAAGTGAAGGAAATATGAGGTTTAACATCAGAGAAGCAATGGCAGCATATCCCTGCAAGATAATAATCTGGCTGAACTCCCTTCTAGAAGTTGTTTAAGTTGTTCTGCAGAAGTTTTGCTTAGATCTAGATAGTGAAAGGCCCCACCATGGCCTAAACAGTCTGAAAAAAATTGGACTGTTTCTGAGATTCAGATAAATGTAGAAGAAGGTTTCTAATGAAGCAAATTATTCGATTGACAGCTTAGTTACAGTAATTCTTTCAGAATTCTACAAATCCAGGTCACACACTGAAAGAATTGTATGTTCAGGAATAGAAAAGCCGAGAAAAGGCTTTTGTTTGTTGTAAAGAAAGAATCTACAAAAATCGAAGTTTTTAAACTCTTTGTTTCCATTGGTGAAAAATATCTAATGAGACTGAAGACAAAATTCTTACAATGAGAAGATACAGATAATTCCATGTATCCTATATTTTTACCTTCTGATCATCGTGAAAAAAAGTTTTCCTACTGAGGTGGACTGCCTGAAGCTTGTTTTATTTGATTTAGGTTTGACTGGCCATTTGGTCCAAGTTATTGAACTGAACGAATTATCGAATATAATAACATTATCCCTTTTGAGATAGTGTGCCTTTGTTTAAGCTGTTCCTTCTGGATGAATACGAGTTCAAAGGAATCATCCCACAGGACGGGGCCTTTATGTCGCTAAGCCTAATTTTAGGGAAAAAAAAAAAAATTGCAGAAAAATGTTTACGTCCTAACATTATAACTTTTGATACCATTTTAAATTATTATTTAAGCTGTCATAGATGTTAAAATTATCATTTAATAATCTTTTTCCTTTACTTTACATGAAAATGCATAAAAAATTGCTTATTTTGAGAAAGAATTTTCAGAAGCACTAATCAAAGTGTTATTAAGTTTTAAGTGATACAACACATTAATAAACTTCAAAATTAATTTTAAAAATACAAGAAAGAGTATTTACAAGAAGCAAAAAAAATCTTTCATGGGAAGTGGAAGGCAGGTGCTCAGTGAGCTCAGTCTCTGACAATGTCCATATCAGGATCATTAGAATCATCACTCTCTAACTCTTAAGGAAATAAATCATCAATCTCATCAATGTCACTAACTGGCTCATTTATCATGCAAGTAGATTTTTTCTCTCCTAAATAACTCCTGGTTGCCATAATAAACTGAAGTTAAGGCTGTCCAAAATAACGGGAAGCATGCAATATAAGTGACAAAAGCAACCCAAAGTGTAATAGAATCATATTTAAAAGAAAAGAATTCAAAGTGATATCAGAAATGTTAATGTTTATACCATGTGGTAAGTTAAAGAGCTGAGTTCTGTACATTACGCTTTCCCTCCTCCCTCACAACAGCCGACACCAATGTTAGGCAGAATGTGATGAAAGTGAAGGTCAGAATCCTAAAAGTATGTTCAGTTCAAAAGTTATAGACACAGGATGCCACCTAGTGGTCTAACATGGTTCAGCTTAAAATGCATATATGCATCACCCCTTCCTTAAGCTCATTCTCTGGTGATGCATGGGTGGGACACCAGGTTGTGAGAGACGTTTGTAGGGAATGATTATATGGGACACAAAGAGTTAAAGCTGCAAAGGTGAAAACAACACACGATGGTATCCTTTAGAAGGGTTGGAAGACGACAGATTGTTCTCATCTGAACAAAAAGGCAAGTTAACGTTTATGATAGTAAAGACATTAAGGTTCCTGATTAAGATACTGAAATTAAATGTGGTAGACAACTGTAAAACCTTCACCTTATGATTATTTCTTATTATAATTATTATTATATAATTGTACTAAGTATATTGTTGTTTAGCTCCTTTGTATTGTATTTGTATTTTGATTTATGTTCCACTCTCCATAAATCAAACGGCTGGAGCCAGACAATGTCGACAGTGGCTCTAACTGTTTGGTTGGAGCCAGGAACAGAGATGTTGCCCAAAACCAAGCAGTTGTGCAAATGCACTTTTTCATTATAAGTTATTTTTCATGATATGGCAAGACTGTATTTTTAGTTTCTGTTCAGAATTTTAAAAAGGTGGAATGGGTTTTTATTTTTATTTTATCTAGGGTGGAATGCCCGTTTTTATTTTGACTGCTTATGTGGATTGCCAGCTTTATTATAATTCCTTTTTACTTTCTTTTAATGGAGTATCGATTCAATGAATGAAATCACAGCCTCAAAATATTATTCATAATGTACAGTAAAATACAAAAATGACTTTTCCAGGGAAAATGGACATAATTCTAAAGCTAAATTCAGTTTTGAGTGCTGCTACATAACAGCAGCCATTTTTCCATATTAAATTTATTACCATGTTTTCAAAGTATTACAGATAATATTTAATGCTTCAGCTGATAGCTTAAAATTAAATCATTAGTCATGTTTGTACAGTTCTTTAGAATTTCTTGGCACATGCTCAATTTCCAATATTATATTAAATAGGGAAAAAAAGACAGACTTGGAATTAATTTATTAAGAATGCAAGTTATATTTAATCAAACAATTAAGGGTTCTCTGCTTAAATGATCAAGTGGCCACCAGAAGATGGAATTCAGGGATTCCTATTCTCATGATGGGGCTTTCAGCTGAAAAGATTTTATATTTCCCTAAGTTTCAAAGACATTAAAATTAGAAATATCCATGCTTCACCCTGGATTTGAACCCAGACTCACTAAGCCTGCATTAATTACCATACCATTTAAACCAGGCTTGGAAGACACAACATTACTACAGGCCTTAGATGAAAAGCTAAAAAGCAGTCTGAACAAATGATAAAACTGTTTTTACACTGAAACTGCACAGATTTATTAAAATGAACAATAAATGCCTTTTCAACCCTATTTTTTAATATATATTATATAATACACAAAAATGATAACATAATAATGAACTTAAATTAGAATAATATTTTGTACACTTCCACATTATTAGCAACTGCAGACTACAAACATATAACACAAAAAATGAAAAAGTATTAGAACAATGCATAAGAAAACATGAAAAATGTAAACTGTATAATACTTACACTATATACATGAAGAAAATTGTCTAAAGTAAGGCCTTCAGGATAGCCTTGCAATATTTTCCTTGTATTCAGAATAATACTTTCAATATGAAAGATGCTGCCATTTGACAGATTAACATTTTCAACAGCAGCTGTATCTATTAAGCAGAAAAGTCCATTGAAAAAACTAAGGCTACACGTGTTTAAATATACATAGGACTATTTTTCAGCAATATAGAATTTTTAATACACCTCAACAGTTATTACAGAATAAACAAAGGAAACAACACTAGATATCCAATATATGTATGGTATTTTAATATGTTGATCACTCTGAAATTTTTTAGACAGAAACACACAATATGCACTGAAAAACAATTATTTGTTAGATATGTAAATTTGAATACTTGTATATCCACAGACAATAATTTGAGCCCAGAATTGTAATTTATCTATTGTAGAATAACATTTTAAAGAAAGGTAAATGGAGCTGATGCGAGAGCATTATCGTGCTATGATTTTCTAACTGTATGGATGGTAGCAAGGTTGATTTTGTGTACAAAGAGGGCACAGATTCTATCTAATACAGAAAGTAATGGAAGGGATGATGATATACATCTAGATATCCAAATGAGTGAATTTTAAGAACTATTTGGAAACTAAGATTCTTATACTGTGAAGGATTTATATGGCTTCTTTTTCAACTTTAATTCATTCTTATTCAAACTTAGTTGGAATTTATATTCACAAGCAAAAAGAAATATATTACATATTTGTTTAGAACTGTTTGCTCCCATTGGTATTCCTCTCACCTGCTGAAAGATCTTATTATTGAATTCAATGTAGTTATTAAATAATGCACAATTTATGTAGTTATTAAATAATCCACAATTTAGGTAAGTTTTCCATTTTTCAATTCAAAGGATGTTAAGTATGTCAGGAAAAAGTTGTAGGAGTTGCATTAAACTAGTAAAAATTTCTTTTAATGGTAGAGAAGTCATAGCAGTTAGTGTTCTTGATTTCTAAACTTTTAAATTTGGTTGAGAACTGGTGTATTATTATAAATAATCCAATTATAGTTGTGTTGCTTGTTAACTAATTGATGAATTAAAATACAGATTTTCTTAAGTTTAATTGCAAATATGTAATCTAATATATTCTTTTTATAGTTATTTGTACCATTTCCTATAAATCTAAATTTGAGTGGTGATAGATTTGCTAATCTATATGCTCTTCCTAAATTCTACTGTAGCTAGATGGTTGTGAAATTTGTAGTTAGATGTTTGTGAAATTTGTAGTTATAAGAAACTATTGCTTTTAACTTTTTTTGCAATGATATTTTTTTGTGTATTGGTAAGTTTGTAAGTAATGGCATTACTCAGTTCAGTATTAATTAGTGAGAAATAAAAAATTTTCAAATAATGCTGAGATTATTACTGGCTTTGTCAATTTTGGTAATTACGAATTTTTGTTTCAAATCTTGCAATAGAGAATTGAGAAAATTCTCTGGTAAATTGCTGCTAAATTCAATCCTCCAAATTCTTTGCTTCAATTCTTCTAACACTTCATGTTTCCAAGCCAAAAAGGTAGAATTTGGAATATTTAATTTCCCTACTATAACTACTAAACTAGTTTTAACTATGAACTCATCTAGATTTTTTTTTTTTTTTTTTTGAAACTTTTTGAACTGTGATTTTTGCCAATTTTCAGTACTGGTCTAAATTTGGTGCGTTTTTCCATTCAATTTCTTAAAAGTTTGTTTTGAACTATTGTTAAATTGCCAGTAACAAAATGTTTATGAAATTCGGCTACGTAGTCTTTGTATTAAAGCTCTTTGTAGCATCAATGGCTGTAGAAGCTAGATCATGGTGGTTAATTCGCAATTTGCTAAGAGGTTTTTGATACTTGACAGCTGGTGAGGTTTGTACTTTTGTAGCTGGAAATTGTTGTTGACATTTTCTGAAATTTTTGCTGAACTGAATATTGTCATAGTTTGGATGTAGGAAGTTGATTTTGCAGTAATATTTATTGCATTTGTTATTGGTACAGAATTTAAAATTGCAAAAATCTATAACAAGGTCTTTGATCATATTGTGTCCGGTAAAAATGCTGTTTGACAAATTTTATAAATATCATTAAGAATTTGTGCTTACAAGTATGTAACCAAGTACAGTCAAAAGTCGTTAATTCGGACACCCATAATTCGGAATGATCTATAATCCGGACCTCAAAACTAAAAACTTTCTGCGCATGCACCGCGTTTACACATGCGCATAGGCGTTTACGCGTGCGCATAAGACCTTTTACGACTGCGCATATGAGTGTGCGCAAGTGCAGAATACGTTTTCGCGTGTGCGTTTTATGTATAATGGACGTATAAGCTAAAATTATCTAATTATCTATTTCAGTTAATGTTGATGATTGCGTTGTTCCTTAATTTTCGAATTGGATCCGGCTTATTATTTTTTGCAGACTGTAAGAGCAGTTTTATAAAAGTAAGCTTAAACTTTCGATTATATCAAATAGAATTTCCGATATATATTTGTTAATATGTAAAGGATCTAAAGCGAAAGTATGTTTCGAAATCCGAAATCTGTTTATCAATTTCACGCAGTTCGGCGGGGGGAATGCCTCGGCGCACAATGATTTGGAAGTTGATCTGTCAGCACTATCCTTATCTTCAAGCGCAGATGTTTTTATTTTATTTGGCTTATAATTGCCTTAACTAAATGTAGTATTTCATCTCGATGCATGCTCCGTCTTTGATATGATTTAAAACAAGTTCCTCGTCATTATAATTCGCTTCCGATAGTCGAAGAAAGTGAACAGAGGTTATTGAAAACGAAAAAATTTCGATTGACAAATTAGTCGGTGTTCTCGACACAGCAATTATAGGACTTGAACAGCGGAACTTTGTAACTGAACAAGAAATTATATCTGTTTAATAGAATTAAAGAGAAAGTATTATCACATGAAACGAAGCAAAACTTAAACAACTTACATTGAAAGAAATGTTTAATAAAGTAAACAAATAAATATTAAGCTTTTTCTTTTTGCAAATTTTGATACTCTTTAGATCATAATTGTTCTTTATTTCATAAATTACGGTTTCATATTTTTAATTTTAGAATTTCTGCATGCCATCTTACGAGATTTAAACTGATGATCTATAATCCGGAAAAATCGATAATCCGGACTCGCCGAAGTCCCGACGAGTCCGGATTAACGACTTTTGACTGTAATGATATTTTTTGTGAAATTTTCAGTAAGAAAGTAATTATTAATATTATCGTTTAACTTTCCTGTATCTATTATCGAAAAAAATTAACTTTTTCTGTCTATTACCAGCTCTCGTTCCTTGTAATGTTTTTTACTGAATAATTTGAAATGGCTGTAAGTTGGAATTTCGGAATTAAATTCAATGTGTTGATTCCATAAGGTTAAAGTGTTTTGAATTTAAGCATGTAGAGTGACGTGACTCTTGAAATAATCTTTCTTTATACCAATCTTCTTAAAGAAATTATACAAGCTTTTCAGTTGCATGCTATACTGAATTTTTAGCAAAATTCATATAATTAAAAAATTTTTCTTTCTCAATTCCATGCCTTATTGGAATTTAATTATGTTAACCTAAACATTAAGCATATTTTAAGGAATACCTCGAGAACTTGCAGGGTAAATTACCCAGTCCTTTTTGCTACCAGCAATGGATGTCCTCGTGAATATATCTGGAAGATCATCAATAAAATCTGCCAGACTGTGATACCCCAGACTATGAAGATCAAATGTAAGAAGGTTAACTTCCTGTAAAGAAAAAGACCATTTATTTAAATTTTAAAAAAACACACACAATTATTTTACGAATATACATAAAAAATACTTCTATTAACATTAGATAATTATGCATAGCTCTGAAACCCAGATATTCACCAGAGTACAAGAAACTCATCTTGCTGTATTTGAAATTAAAATTCTAAGTAAAACCTTTTGCGCTAGAAATACTAATGACTTGTGGCAACATAAATATTAACAATCAATGCATACTTGTATCATCACAAAAGTTTTTCAAAATCGAACCATCCTTTCTTTTAATTATGTTGCTACTGCTGATACGGAGTGATCTTGACTAAAGTAGACGTTTAAAGAATAAAATATTGGGTACATTTAATTTAACTTTGTGATTTATTCACATGCAATGATCATTACAATATCCTAGACGACTGAGTCAAATATACCCAGTTAACACAATGATTGGGACATATTGCCCCAGGAGATTTCCAGGAAACGGGAAAAGTTAAAAACTTTAAACTCATAATACACTTCTTTTAGTATGTCAACATTCAATTGAACTACAGGGGTTGGACAAAAATATGGAAACACCTTTAAAAAAACATGTTTCTTTCCTTAACATGGTGTAGGAAACCCGTTGGCATCCAAAACAGCTTGCAGTCTTCTCGGAATGGATAAATACAGTTCCTGTATGTTTGCCAAGGGAATATTATACCATTCTTCCCGCAAAACAGTGGCAAGTTCAGATAACGATGTTGGCGGTGGATAACGAGAACGCCCTTTGTGTTCCAATGTAGACCACAAAGGTTCGATAATATTCAGGTCTGGTGACTGTGGTGGCCAGGGGAGATGGGACTACTCATCCTCATGCTCAGAAAACCAGTCCTGGACAATGTGAGCTGTGTGAACAGGGGCTTTGTCGTCTTGGAAGACACCATCACCATCGGGGAACAAAGTTTGTACCATGGGATGAACTTGATCAGCCAAATGTTCACATAAGTCTTGGCAGTCATGTGCCCTGACACAGTTATCATGGGCTAGCAGAGAACCACGATATGGCTGCCCAAACCATAACAGAACCCCTGCCATGTTTCACTCTTGGCAACAAGCAGTCTGTATTATAGGCTTAAGATGTCGTTCTCCAGACGTAAATTCGGCCAGAAGTTGGAAACAATGTGAAAGAAGACTCGTCAGACCATATTACTCGCTTCCACTGCTCTATAGTCCAGGCTTATGACTTAACACCACCTTTCCAGTTACGGGCATTAGCATCACTGATGAGTGGCTTCTCAATTGCAGCACGGCCAGCAATTCCCTGTTTGTGAAGCTCCCTTCTAATTGTTTTTGGTACTCACAGGGTTCGGTAACACAACATTCACTTCAGCAGTAACTTTTGCAGCTGTGGTCTTCTTATTTTTCCGTCACAATTGCCCTTAATGATCGTCTGTCGCGATCACTCAGGACACACTTTCGTCCGCGCTGTGATTAGCAGATGATGTTTTTTCCGCTTTTCAAATATGCGGAATAAATCTTCGATACAGTACCTCTTGAAACACTAAACACCTTGGCTACCTTGCTTACGGAAGCACCTACCATACCTGCTCCAACAATTTGCCCACGTTCGAAGTCTGTTAACTCTGACATAATGCAATGACAACCTCACATAACAGTACTCCGACAACAACTGAACTGTTTAGCACATTTACGAAGTTGTATAGGTGGCGTCAGTAGTCAAAAACGCCAGCGCCACCTATATATTTCATTAAAATCAATCTTTCTTTTCAAACATGCATTTCACAAGGTGTTTCCATATTTTTGTCCATCCACTGTACTTTTCATAGTTAAATTTTAATCATGCAAAAGTCGGGTCGAAAGGGTTAAGGAAGTATGGAAATTTCAGCCTTAAAAATGATGCCTGCTTCATAAAACAAGCCTCTGTAAACAAGATCATATTAAAAAAGCTATGGCTGAAATGTTTAGGAACTATCAGTTATACAGTTCAGAAATTATCAGATAGAATAAATATTCCAAAAAGTACCAAACATGATCATTTGAAGAAAACTTGCTAAGTACACTGCTATGGTGTATGGATACGCCATACAGCAGAATATGTTTGCTCAAGTTTTGGCATCTGAAACCTCTTTAGTAACATCAAGAGGGCACCCATTACCAGAAAGTAATGGTTTGCATGTAGTAGGACTACAAAGGAGTTGTATACTGTGAATTGTTGCCTTTATATCAGGCAATAAATTTACGTGAATTTACATATTGGCGCATTTTGAAATTTGGCATATTCATTATAAGCAATAATAATGCCAAATGTGGTTTAACACACTTGTTAAAGTTATTTGAATGTATGAACGATGACCCTTTTCCCATGTGTGCAATGAAAAAAGAAAAGGAAATACGTTCCTATAAATTAAGAAGTTCACCAAAAGAATTAGTTATTCTTGGTGCAAACTAAAAAAATTGCACCAAGATAAATTTTTTACTTTCTTCATATATTTCTCCCCAAAAATTACAAAATTTAATGACATAATTTGAGCCATAGAACTGAAATATGGAAAAAAAAATTGATATGTTACTTCAGACGTCCGATTTTATGTCACAATACCTATGTTAGAACAATGCTATATATAAATGTAATACAGTAGAAGTCCAGAAATCCGCAAAGCTTGGGACCAGAGGTTGTGCGGATTTTAGGGATTTCAGGACAGAAAGATAAATCATAATATTCGGGCTAAAAGTGCAAAATAAATAAGGTGTATTAGACACATTTAATTAAATTATTATATACATTATTGCAATAACTTATTATATTAAATTATTTCATTACATATATAAATTAATTATATATTATTCATTGTATTATATGTACACAGTATCGACATTTGCCGATTTTGCCCCATGCAAAGATTTCCGGTTTGGGATTCCAGTGTTAGAATCACTGTTGCTGTAAAATTTCAATAGCTTTTCTTTATTTTTCCATAATCGTGTTACAATTCTATACGATTCTACTATAAACCGAGGAGTAGCACCTGCCTCCATCTTTTGCAGAATTTGCCCTTTTTGCATTACCGTCAATGCAGCGTGTTTACATTTTTCGACGTTGCAAGTAGTAAAATCATGAGCACGTATCTTATCTGTCATTGTAGTAAAAAGGACTGAAATTTAAAATATTTTTAAATCTTAATATCCAAAAAACATCCGGATTAAAAAAGAGGCAGCACTAAATAATCTTGTGAAATAACAAAGCTCAGAAAATACAACAATGTGAATCTTGAACTTGAAAGAAGAGTTGAGTGAATTGTCTGCTTTTTTTTACCTCGGTGCAGATTAGAGGGGGAAAACTTTTATCACGATGTCAATAATTTGGTATTTCCGTTATGACTCATTATTATTCGGTAATTATGACATCATCATTCGGTAAGTATTTTTCCTTCGATATTTCGTACTTAATATTGCGGTTTCCAGAACCTATAAACTGAATGTTTATATTTTGAGAGGCAAAGCGGATTTCAGGTATTTGACTGTATATATCCAAAGTTGCACTTTTGAGACATGGAAAATGCAAGTAAAATTTCGACAATCGGTCCAGTGGAATGGGAGATGTAGAACTGTCCCCCCCTTTTTTTTTGTGCAAGGTGTACAGCAGTCAGCATTACTAGCCACTACAAGGGTCTCCCACCAAGCTCTCGAAAGGGTTTTCGGCTCAGCGTATATTTTGAATGCCCCTTGCTGCCTACATACTACACACTTACAAATAAACATGCCTTCCCCGGGATTCGAACCTGAGTCCATTAGCATGGCAGTCAGTGTCAGTAATCACTAAACTAGCTGAGCAGCAAACCGATAAACAGAAAAATGTCTACAGTAAACAATACTGCTGAAAACAGATTCATTTATACAATATTACACAAAAAATTCAAAGCACAAAAATAATTTGGCATAATATATAATGAATAAATAATGGCCTATCACAATTAAATTTTTTCAAAAAAATATTTCTTTAATATTCCACCAAAAAGTGCATTTTATTAACATTCACAAATAATTCCAGCTTTTGCCGATTCTGATATTCATCATGTATTTTTTAACGTTTCCTCAAACAAGAGTTGCACATAGAGAAACACCACAGGTACTCGTCAAAAATGATAGAGATTGCCAAATCTGAATATGCAACTTATTAACTCCCAGATATTAGTCACCATAATTTCACCAAAGACACACATGGTGGCAACTTTAATAAATACTCAGTCGCTGATACGTCAAAAAATGTTATGCTACCATTGACAAAATTTTTGACTTTTTTAAGGAAATTTATTTATTTTACAAATGCCAAACATTAGCACTTAAGACATCAGTTCACGGGTCTCTAGTACTTTCTAACAATGTCCTCATATCGAGAAAATGCAATACAATTATTTAAATATTCACATATCATAGGCTGATTGGCATCGCATAAAATACAGTTTGGGAAGTCCACCACTCTAATTCTACAAAGGTGATCTCGTAAACAGTCATGTTCGGTCAAGACATCTAAATAGAGGTATAGCTGTCTTTCTTGGAAAACTGGGCATGAAAATTGTCTCTGTCTCCAGAATCCTCAAAGTCTTACCCATAGCACGCTGAATCATATCCTGCTTAAGAATTTTCTAGGTTAACAAACAATTAGTCATTTAAAATGAAAACGATCGATTAATATGTTTCATTATGAAAGTTCCTTTCTTAGCCAATGTATCAGCTTTTTCATTTCCCATAATTCCACAGTGGGCTGGAATCCAGTGGAAAGAAATTCTGTGTAGACTGTTGTTCTAACTTAAACAAAGCCTACAGTCTAAAATTCTTTGGGAACTGTTTTGATTATTCAAAAGAACTTGAAATGCACTTTTGAAATCTGACCGCATTTACGGAGTGGCTACAAATCGACAGCTGTTGAATAGCCACAGCAATAGCTTCGATTTAACCATCAACGGCAGTAGTGCCACCCAAACGGTGTAAAGGTTAGCATTGCT